TGGGTCATCACAGACATCAACACATTAGACCTTGTGCAGTATCTTAGTGGGTCATAACAAACATCAACACATCAGACCTTGTGCAGTAAGTCACTAGTGGGTCATCACAGACATCAACTCATTAGACCTTGTGCAGTCTCTAGTGGGTCATCACAGACATCAACACATTAGACCTTGTGCAGTAAGTCTCTAGTGGGTCATCACAGACATTAACACGTTAGACCTTGTGCAGTAAGTCTCTAGTGGGTCATCACAGACATCAACACATCAGACCTTGTGCAGTAAATCTCTAGTGGGTCATAACAGACATGAACACATCAGACCTTGTGCAGTAAGTCTCTAGTGGGTCATCACAGACATCAAGAGATCAGACATTGTGGAGTCTCTAGTGGGTCATAACAGACATCAACACATCAGACCTTGTGCAGTAAGTCTCTAGTGGGTCATCACAGACATCAACACATTAGACCTTGTGCAGTAAGTCTCTAGTGGGTCATCACAGACATCAAGACATCAGACCTTGTGCAGTAAGTCACTAGTGGGTCATAACAGACATTAACACATCAAACCTTGTGGAGTAAGTCACAAGTGGGTCATAACAGACATCAACACATCAGACCTTGTGCAGTCTCTAGTGGGTCATAACAGACATGAACACATCAGACCTTGTGCAGTCTCTAGTGGGTCATCACAGACATCAACACATCAGACCTTGTGCAGTAAGTCCCTAGTGGGTCATAACAGACATCAACACATCAGACCTTGTGCAGTAAGTCACTAGTGGGTCATAACAGACATTAACACATCAAACCTTGTGCAGTAAGTCACAAGTGGGTCATAACAGACATCAACACATCAGACCTTGTGCAGTCTCTAGTGGGTCATCACAGACATCAACACATCAGACCTTGTGCAGTAAGTCTCTAGTTGGTCATAACAGACATCAACACATCAGACCTTGTGCAGTAAGTCACTAGTGGGTCATAACAGACATCAACACATCAGACCTTCTGCAGTCTCTAGTGGGTCATCACAGACATCAACACATTAGACCTTGTGCAGTAAGTCTCTAGTGGGTCATCACAGACATCAACACATTAGACCTTGTGCAGTATCTTAGTGGGTCATAACAAACATCAACACATCAGACCTTGTGCAGTAAGTCACTAGTGGGTCATCACAGACATCAACTCATTAGACCTTGTGCAGTCTCTAGTGGGTCATCACAGACATCAACACATTAGACCTTGTGCAGTAAGTCTCTAGTGGGTCATCACAGACATTAACACGTTAGACCTTGTGCAGTAAGTCTCTAGTGGGTCATCACAGACATCAACACATCAGACCTTGTGCAGTAAATCTCTAGTGGGTCATAACAGACATGAACACATCAGACCTTGTGCAGTAAGTCTCTAGTGGGTCATCACAGACATCAAGAGATCAGACATTGTGGAGTCTCTAGTGGTTCATAACAGACATCAACACATCAGACCTTGTGCAGTAAGTCTCTAGTGGGTCATCACAGACATCAACACATTAGACCTTGTGCAGTAAGTCTCTAGTGGGTCATCACAGACATCAAGACATCAGACCTTGTGCAGTAAGTCACTAGTGGGTCATAACAGACATCAACACATCAGACCTTGTGCAGTAAGTCACAAGTGGGTCATCACAGACATCAACACATTAGACCTTGTGCAGTAAGTCTCTAGTGGGTCATAACAGACATTAACACATCAGACCTTGTGCAGTAAGTCACTGGTGAGTCATAACAGACACTAACACATCAGACCTTGTGCAGTAAGTCACAAGTGGGTCATCACAGACATCAACTCATTAGACCTTGTGCAGTCTCTAGTGGGTCATCACAGACATCAACACATTAGACCTTGTGCAGTAAGTCTCTAGTGGGTCATCACAGACATTAACACATTAGACCTTGTGCAGTAAGTCTCTAGTGGGTCATCACAGACATCAACACATCAGACCTTGTGCAGTAAGTCACTGGTGAGTCATAACAGAAATCAACACATCAGACCTGATCGGCTGCTCATAACAATCTGACATTGTCACCACTCATCAACTGTTATCCACCTGCCGTTCTGCTGATCCACTGAGAAGCCAAAGAGATTCTGATCAATAAGAATGCCATTCAAGTCATGGATCTGTCCACCTTCATCCCTGGCTTCTATTCACTGATATTTGAAGTGCTGAAGAAGGGCTCAACATAAGTCTGCATGAGCGCATTTCAACTTGCTGTACCTAGAACATCCTCCACAGTTATTGATGTTCTCAGTCAACCACCAGGATTGTCTGATGATTTCTATTTGCAATTTTCACCACCCCATATTTTTCGCCAGAATCTCGAAGCCGGTATCAGATTCGAAGTGTATCTGCAATATTGTTTACAATCCCACTTCCAGCAGAATGTACTTCTACAGCAGCTGTCCTTCACTCCTCGCCTTCTTCACCGCGTTCTCCACCGCCTAGGTTGTCCATTCAACTAGGCAAAGTGCAACTTGATTCCGTCAGATGACCACTGCTAGTGGCACGTCAACAATTATGAGTTTGAGGACGTAATTCTGGGGATAACTCACTTGAGGTTGCTCCTTTAGAATTCGTGCCTCATGATCAAGACAGACAACACCACAGCAGTGTGGCAGATCAACAGCCAGGGTACCACGAGGTCGCCATCTCTGCTTCAACAAGTATTCCGCCTCTTCCAACTCATGACACGTTCCAGATCACAGTTCAAGCGTATCACATTCATCTCCCCTCCACCTTCACCTTACACTCCACCATCACCTTACACTCAAAAGCATCATCCAACCCCAGATGACCGCCTCCGTGGTCTCGTGGTAGAGTGTCCGCCCGGAGAGCGGAAGGTCCAGGGTTCGATCCCGGGCCGCGTCATACAAAAAGACGTTAAAAGATGGTACTTGTTGTTACCCTGTCTGGCGCTCAGCATTAAGGGGCTAAAACAAGGACTGGTCGGCTCGGAGTCAGTATACTGTGTCTGAGTAGGGTATTCATGTTAAACTGCGGCATGGTATCTCAGTGAGCTAGCACTATAAATCGGCATCAGTCCGGACTAGTACAAGCAGCCACACACACACATACACGTGCATGCACGTCACTATATAAGTGCAATAATCTTGGACACGACGTTAAACCCAATTTCACCTCACCTCACCTCCAACCCCAGATATGTTCTATCTGCACATCTGGATCGTATGCAGATATCTAGGTCTAAGGGTTAGACAGCTTGTGTTGCCTGGGCAATCACTCTTGCTTATCATAATGATAAGTGGCCTTAGTTGGGGAAATACTGAAATACCACAAGCTCTCCCCTGCACTGTCTCCAATGCCTCCACAGATTGCTGATTTCCTCAACTATCTACGCACTCCTTATCAACTTAAGGCTGGTACTATTGCCACATTTTTGGCAGTCATAGCTATCCACTGTGATTGACAGTCAAGACTAAGTATGGCTGCCGGAGTCGTTACAACAGACACACAACACAGTTCACATTTCATTAATGTCGAACACACTAATAAGGTCCACAATGACTGGCTAAATCAGTATCTGGTGTAACCGCCTCCTACTTGGATAACATGTTCTACACATGCCATCTCATACTGGTCACCAGACGACTGAATCTCTCTTGGGGGATCTGCTGCCACTCATCATGCAATGCATGGGTCAATTCCTGTAGGTTCTGAACTGGAGGATCCCTTGCTCTCACCCTACGTCCCAAAATGTCCCACAAATTCTCAATAGGATTAATGTCTGGACTTCTGGCAGGCCAGGGTAGTGTCTCAATGGCGTTGTGTTGGAGATGCTGAACAACAGCTCAAGCACGATGAGGTCTGGCATTTTCGTCCATGAAGACTGGACGTATGGCAAGAGCATGGTTATCGAAATGAGGCACAACAGCACTGTCCAGGATCAAGTTCTGGTACCTCTGTCCATTCAGTGTTCCTGGAACTGTGATGAGGTCAAGTTTACAATCGTAGGAACAACACCCCCACACCATGAAGGATCCACCGCCAAATGGAACATCAGCTTGAATGTTCCTCTGATCATATGCTGTGCCTCTCTGCCTCCAAACTCGTGCCCTCCCTTCTGTGTGATCAGCAAAAATCTGCTTTCATAGGACCAGTGGATCCTTCTCCAGGTCCTCGGGTTCCAGCGAGCACGTGCTTGGGCATGGCAGTGCTGATTTTTGTGAGGAGTAGACGTCTGATAGGTCGTCTTGCTCTCAATCCTGCAGAATTTAGGCGTCGTCTGATGGTGCTGATGGACACTCTGTTGTATGGATGGCATCCATGTCGCAGCTGTGTACAAGTAGACTTTGGGCTTCGTCTGGCTTGGCGTACGAGAGCACGATCTTGGTTTTTCTGGGACGTCCAGACATCGGTGCATCCTTCACTTCACCGGAAACAGTATGCTTACGTATTATCCTGCTGATGACAGTGTGATTAATGTTCAGTTGTGCTCCAATAGCACGACATGACATACCAGTCTGGTGCATACCAATAATTTGCCATCTTTGGTTCAGAGGCACTGGAAGCTTGGGCATTTCACTGGTTGGTCAAAATAAAGCTTAATTTATGCCTAAAACCAAATTTTACCTGTGTCTGCCAACATAACATACGCCAAAAGAGACTATGTGCATACTGCATTTTTAGCAAATCGACCCCCGGTACAAGCATGCTCAATGCAAGCATGCACGTGCAGCTCGGAACAGGGTGTGTTTGTGATATTATGTTCACAGATGGTGTAGTATATGAAATATGTACTTGTAGTTTAAAAAAACAAAAATTATATTTTCTACTTTTACTTTAAAATGTGTGGTGCGATATTTATGACGAGGTGTATATATCATTCCCAGTGAAAAGGTGACTGCATCATTAAGGGTCAATGTTGATGTTTTTACCACATGTTCACAAAACATATCTCACTATCTTTACATTTGTAACTCTTGTTTTGATTCCAGACAGACCTGCATGATTCCCAACAGCACACGTCTTGATGAAGAGTATAATCTAAAGGTACTGACTGAGCAGGGATTTGTCTGGGATGTTTAACATCATGTCGTGGTGTGTAGATTTGGGAAAGTGTTGTTGTTTACTCCTTAATGCATTTACTGCTTGTTCTTCACAGAGAGAAAGAGCTTGTGAGAGATCTTGCTGAAGTTGTTCCAACTGGTTGTATGGCTAACCCTATCACACAGCTCCCAGTAGTGACATCACTGAGCAGCACATCACTGCTGTCAATCCCAGAGACAAGACCTGCTTTTGTGTCTCATTTGATACTTGAATCCTTTGAGTGTTTGCTACTTGTGATTTATTATTGTGCCTACGGTTTGTGACAAATATTTATCAATGCTTTATTTACCACAGTAATTATCAGGCATATTGTTGTTCCTATTGTCCATATTGATTTCACTTCGTTGTCATGTATTGTTGTGTCATGCATTCTGTTTTCATTGTATTGCTTGGTATTGCAATTTATTGTCGTACCCTAGCGATATTATTGTTGCTAAACTGGTGTTTTTTTGTGTTGCTTGCGTCAACTTGTTATTCATAAACCCACATGACGGGGGTAATGATTGTTGCTTACATAATCAGGTGGGAACGCATTTTTATTGCACTCATTGTATCATGTATCCCGTGTCACAGGAATAAATCAGTGTGGGACCCACACCCTGTATGTCTCAATTGCACCACCATCTGCACCCAGACTGATAGGTGCAAAGATTGTCTGCTCCTCTTTCCAACTGCTTTCTCCAAATACCTACAGGTGACCAGGAAAAGGCAGACTCAGCAGACTCGGAAGCTGTGCCTATCTTTATTAAGAATGTTCGACCCATTAGAACCTACCATTCCATCACCTAGTGTTACCTCCTCCAATCCAGGCAGAATCCCCCTAGCGTTCACCACCACGCCTGTATCTTCGGCAGGGATGATCGCTTCCTCCCCTACCGTTACAATCTCATCCTGACACCATTGAGGCGTCTCTAGTGCTGTTATCCACGCTCTCGTCGTTGAATTTCACGTCCTCATCATCCACAGCGATGCCGGGCATGGCACTCACTAACTTCTCTCTGTCAGCGTTGTAGCAGTCTCCATAGCGCCAGTGGCGCCGATGCTCAAGGCGCCTCCAGGATTCGGACAGTACTCGGCGCCTCTCCAGCCACCTCAGATGCCCTACATGGATGCATCTTGGTTCCAAAGCATCATGCAGTCCATGAGGTTTCAACAACCTATGCCTAGATACACGGCTACAGCGTCTGCCACGCTGTCAGCCACCTCTTGTCTTCTCGGTGCCTCTGGTTCACGGCTCCTCCAGTGGACTTAGGTGGGGCCTCTATGACACGCCTTTATGACACATCCTTCATCCTCCTTCAGCTCAACCTCTCTTGCCTCAAGGGGTAGTGGAAGTAGATCCTCCCCATCTAGGCATTGATCCCGTAGTACTACTTGGGACTCCCCAGAGGGCTCCTTCACCCCATCTTGTGATGGTGCCATCGCTTATATATTGATTCTCACCTTGGCCTCAACCTGGTTCCAGATTGGTTGGTAGACTGTCTGACTCAGACGTAAACAGATAGGATGTTATATGGCCTCATCCCACATCTATATCCTCTGACCCCATGATTAAGGACATGGTCTCGGCGTTAAATGAGGACTTTGCCAGGCTCTTATTGACACCTTCCTTCAAAGCACCTAAATATAGCAAGGAGGATTTTCCTATCCAAGCTTTTGACATCGTGGACACGGCTCACATCTCAGATGAGACCCTCCACCGCATGACCGGTTCAAACCACGCTACCACTTCCATGTCCCAGACAATCGGCTGGCCTTTATTGAAACCGAGATCCGGTGCTCCATTAAGCCTGTCTCCGTCATGGCCTCCACCTCGAGAGCCATTCTTCAAGATTTGTTAGAGGACAACCCTTACTGGCTTGACCACCTGACCAAGGTCATGGCATACCAACAGCGTGAGATTGACCACATGCAGGTTATGTGTGGCGGCGTTAGCCATACTCACTACTACTCACTGCTTTGGCTACCTAGCACTGACTGAGTGGGACTGCTTCGCAAACCCAGGTCTCCTACTTCCCTCTTCATTGGCCAGGTTTTCACCACACATGCACAAGACTGCCCTCAAGGCCCGGGCACATGTGTCTCACGCCAACACTCCCAAGCCTCGGGCACATATCAGCCTCGGGCACATATCAGCCTCAGAGAAACTCCCTCCAGGCGAAATGAGGATGTGACTCTATGGCTTTTCAGAGCAGAGGCCAAGCCAAAGGCAAGGCATCCGGCACTTACCAGCCATTCCATGACCGTTCCCGTGGTGGGAGCAGTGATCACAAGCCCAAGTATTGATGTGGTGAACGCCAATGACTGGGAACTCCTCAGTCTTCGAGACCCCAGTAGGTGGGAGATAAGGGCGCTACTGGTATCCTTGGGGACGATACGTCATAAACATACTGCATAGGGGGTACCAACTCACTCTGAAAGACAACCTTCCATTGGCAGCGTCACCCTTAGTAGACACTTACACCCCTTCTGCATTTCAACATCAACATGCTGCTGGCCAAAGAGGCCATAGAGATCGTACACACGCTGGCACTAACACCAGGCTTCTGTTCAAAGATATTCCTCGTCCCCAAAAAGGACTCCGACCAATATTTAATGATACACAACTTGGTGACTTTCAACAAGCGCTCCTCAGAGCATCCACAATAGTTGCCGATGTCCACTGTCAGGCTACTTAAATCCAAAATCCAGGCCCAAGACGCCTTTGATAAGCCAAACATCCAGGACGCGTACTTGCATGTACCTATCCACCCAAACTACAGGAAATTTTTCTGCTTCTTCCAGAGAGACTCCACTATCAATGGGCGGTCCTCCCATTTCTTTGGCCCTGTGGCTATTTGCATGCCTCATGAAGCCAATAGCCACTTCCCTCCATCTTAAGTGTCCAGTTTAAGACGTTTATAGACGATTGCATCCTCAACCACCAGGACACACCCACGCCACAGGGCAACAACCCCGCACTCTCCACCAATGGCAGGCGCTCCTGGGTCTCATCACGTAGGTGCAGTACCTGACGTCCAGAGGACAGCTCCAAATGTTCCTCGCTGTCACATCTGGCGACATCTGAGATGGTAGACGGTGGAGTCTAATGTCTTAGACGGCATCTCAGGTTGCCCCGAGGGTGTGGTCAACCACTCAACAACAGTGGCATATCAACAACCTAGAACTGGAAGCGCTTATCCTGGCTCTGTCTCACTGGAAGCAGATGCTTTAACACGCCCAGATCACCATATCCACTGACAATATCACCTTGAGTTGGTGCCTCAGTAAATGAGGAACGACTCACTACTCATACCTGTTACGGCAGACATTTAGACTATTCCACCTGATTGATCAAGTGGACATCCAGTTTGATCAGACACATTCAAGATTGTTGCAACATTCTTGCGGACATCCTCTCCTGCCTGGTCCAGTCCTGGCAGGGTTGTCCCCACAGAGCAAAAACTCCATCTGGATGCCTTCGGTCTTGTCTGTCAACACCTCGGCTATCGAAACATAGACCTATTTGCCACCAGCCAGAATTTCCAGGTTCGGACCTTCAGCTCACCAGTGACAGTCAATGTCTTCAGCATACCCTGGGAAGGACTAAAAGTGTATGCTTTTCCTCCGCCAGGGCTCCTTTCCAAGGTCCTTCAGAAGATCAGATTGACCTGGAGCCTCGGCCAGCGAGAGGCTGGTTCGTGGCCCTCAGAGTAATGTTCTCCACCAACCCCATCAAACTAGCCAAACCTGCTGATCCACCCTCACAGCAGACTATCACACTTGGCACCAGATCGGTTACTTCTTCACGCCTGGTCCATTTACAAAGAGCTTTATGCGCCAAGGGCTACTCAGCATGGGCTGTAAAAGCCATACCTTGGCACACAGACCTTCTACTAGGGGCCTCTATGACAAGTGGCGCTCCCTTGAGAGTTTCTGCAAGGAGAAACACCAGGATCCTGCCTCTGCATCGCCCCAACTCTTGGCAGAATATCTAATGCCATCTGAAGGGTTGTACTCTCACGGCTTACCTTAATTCCGTCCTGGCAGTTCTGGAAGATGAAAAATGACCAGCTCCGGAACTACAGGTGCTCTTAGACTGTCTGGAAGATCAGAAGACCAAGTTCAGACCCCCTGCCTGGGATCTGAACGTGGTCCTGACTTTACTGAGGGGCGGTTTGTGAACCACCTCACTCAGCGTCATTTTCCAACCTCACCAAAAAGACCATCTTCCTTTTGGCTCTAGCGACAGTGAGTGAACAATATGCATTAGACATCACTCGTGCCAGATTTGAGCGCAGAGCGCATGGAGTCATTCAACTAAGGGATTGCTGGGATCATTGCAAAGGACAGGACAACCAGATAGATCCTTCACCATCCTGACTCTTGGGATTGAGGACGAACGTTAGCGACTACTGTGTCCCATACAGGCACTGCGATGTTTTATCCGACACTCCAAAAATCATCGGGGAAAATCATCGCCTCTTCATACCAATAGCTCCAACATCGCAGGTTGAAGTTGTGCCCTCATCCTTCAGGCCTATGAGGCCGCAGGATTGAATCCTCCGAGGGCCAGCAACCCTCACAAGATATGGAAGGCTGCTCCTGGTGATCAAACACTGTCTTTGACAGCCACTGTCCACAAGATGTTGCCCTTGAAGACGTGGAAGGAGTCCGCAGTTGTTTGTCCCTTTGGTGGTCACCACCACAAGGCACCACTGACGCTTCCAGAGACATTCTATTGACCTCTTTGGTGTGCACACCCCAGAGTAGGAGGTTACATGCTGGCCGCTTTGGCTTGGTTTGTCAGTATTAGATTTTAACCCCATTTAATTCTTTTTCTGCTTTTACTACTCGTGTCTTTTACCCGGATATCCCGCATACCTGACTCTCTCCCTCCCTGCCGACATGAATGTTCGCTTAACGCCAGACATCGCTATTTCTGATTGATCAGTCTGTCAGTCAGAAGATCTCATCTGAAGTTATGCCCTCTGCCGTACTGTTTGATGCAGATGCATTAAGGAGGAATGCATAATAAGTTAAAAAGGTTGTAGATATTTTTTATGTTTGTATACTTATCCTGCATTATGTCTGAAGTAGCCCACCCATTGCGGAAGGTATCTACCCTCGATATTCAGTGATGTCACCACTTCCGCAGTCACATGGGAGCTGTGTGATAGGATTAGCCACACAACCAATTGGAACAACTTCTTCTTCAGCAAGACCTCTCACAAGCTCTTTCTCTGTCAAGAACAAGCAGTTAAAGCATTAAGGAGTAATGCAGGATTAGTATACAAATATAAAAAATTTGGGGGATTTTACTAGTTTTGGGAAAGTCCTATAATTCTAGTTACAAATTTTTGCAAAACTAATTTATTGAAATTAATCAAATAAGTACTATTCTGTTGAAAAGTGTGCAATCTCGTCTTTTTTAGCTCTAAGATATGCTTCCTAACTTATCGTATTGCATGGTCATAGTACACTTGGTGTGCTTTTTATTTGTACGTATTGATGTTTATATTGTCTTGTAGGTCTGTAGAATGCTTAGATAAATTCCTGAAAAGTAACCTCAGCAACCAACTTCCAGAGTATCTGTTGGCTCAGAGAAAATAGTTCCAATGGACAAAACATATATGTTTTAGTTTGTTTTCAGTCGTACAAATGGGTATCTCTCATACCCTCACATCTAGTCGCACGTTTAAAAGGAAGCCAGAAGCTGGAATGTAAACATTAAACTTGTTTCCGTCCAGTTGCGCACGCACCTCCCTATGACATGTCACAAATCTCTCAGCGCGCCTCTGAGCTGGTCGCTCGAGAAAGTCTTTCGCGGTAGACTGCTTGTTTGTATTCTACTAGTATTTATCTCTTGTCTACAGTTGTTGTTCTAATAAAGTAATAATAATAATAAATATGTCTTCCCTGTAGACTCCTGGAATGTAATCCTTGGTAACCCATTGTTTGTGTTCAACACGTGTTTCACTGTTTGACTTGATTGATTATACACGTGGCAACATGTCGGGCATTGGTGCCTCGTTTCAAAGAAAACTTTTTAAAGGAGACCCTCACAAGTATTGTCCTTCCTGCATCATTAAGGACGGGTTTTCAACGTGTTCGTGGGATAAACGTTGTAAAGAATGTGAGCTCTTCTATTAACTTTAACTTGTATCTTCGTGCGTTTGCGAAGCGGACTGCTGACCACCGCTACAAGCACAGAAGGTCATCGGGTGGATCCTTGGACTCTGCACCCTCCACATCAGGCCCTGGGGGTGGCGAGTCGGACACACCCAAGAAATCAGTTGATAAAGACCCGCCTCAGTCAACTTCTGTTTTTAACAAGACACGTGACCGTTCACCTGCTGATGATACTACCCGCACGACTGATCTTCGTCAATCAGTTGATCGAGAGCGTCACTCAGCCTCCCCAGTTACGATGTGACCGGGTGGTGACGAGGACCATGAGGGGACTACGGTCCCCAGTCGGTCCGTATCTCGTTTTACCAATGGCGATGGGGACGTTGTGCGGGACGACAGTGGACACAGAAGTCGTTCCCCTTGAAGTCTGGACGACAGGTCGAGTGCCTCGTCGAGAGACAGTACACGACACGAGGGCGTTCATCGCCTTCGTGGTCATCGGGTGTACGATTCGGACGATAACTACGATGGGGATCATAGTACTTCTACAGTTAGAGATCGTAGCCTTTGTCCCCAAGGGGACGTGCAACGTTCTCGCAGGGAGTTTCTAGGAGTTCAGCGTCGTAGTGAAGATAATGACAGTACGACGCCCTCATCTCACTTTCATATCGACCCGGCTTTGATAGCCCAGATCACGGCGGCGGTCTTCGCCTCGACGCCTCGACGGCGTCGACCAAGAAGGATTCGACTGCGTCGGGGGTCCATGGACCGTCAACCAGTACACCAGCTCCTTCATCTACGCCTCAACAATCGACGTCGGCGATGGATTGTGACGACAGCCTCTCGGATGTCCTCGCCTAGTCCCGATATGTATCGGGCCAGATTACTACGGCACGTCGCCATGGTTACATCGACTGCACTGAACTACCTGATCGTCATGGCAGTACACTCTTACGGGCCCCGTGGTCATCGCAACAGTTGTTTGACGGTCGTACCAACGAAGTTCTGGACAAGTACTCCAGGGAAGCCGAGCGTGACATCATCATTTCGGCTTCATACAACCTGTCCAACGCCCCACGACGACGTTTCAGACAAGAATGTACGTGCCTTCATGGTTGAAGATCAGTCACGTAAATTGCAACCACCAGGCTGGGACCTCGATGTCGTTCTGCACAACCTGTCTAGTCAGACTTACGAGCCTCTAGATCAGGTCGCGTTCAACTTATGGTCTCAGAAAATAGCTTTCCTTCTCTCGCTGGCTACAGCAGGGAGAGTATCGGAAGTACATGCCATTGACATCGGTCGGATTACGTTCGATCAGCGTAACCATGGCAACGTCCATCTTGGTCTCAGATGGGATTTTTTAGCGAAAAATCAACTTCCTGGCCAAGATTCAAGAATGTGCAACGGGCCTTTCGTAGGGACATGCCTCGACAGCCGTCCCGCAAGAGAGATTCGGACAGGAAATGTCGCCAGGTCTCCTTTTCCAAGTATCCCAGAGGGGGAAAGAGCCAGCGGGGGAAGAAGTGAGGACCCTTCCCCCGCCGTCACCGTCATAGCAGTCTTCCCTGGTGACACTACCTTTAGACGTGCTACCAGTAGTGGGGAGACTTCATCACTATGCCCACAGGTGGGCTTTCCTCAACGACCTTTACGTTCAGAACATTTTGACAACAGGCTACGCCCCACGCCTGAGATCGACGCCACCACTGACGTCATCCCTGACATGCCACACTCCACCAACAGATTGGCTGACGGAGGCCATCGATTCGTTGGTGGAAAAGGCGGCAGTACTTCGCCTAGGGACATCATCGGGGTACCTCCTGCCCATTTTTCTAGTACCCAAGAAAAACTCCACAAAGATGCGGCTTATTTTCAATCTCAAAAAGTTCAACGCAACATACCTCCTTGACAACCCAACACATTCACCATGTTATCCCTCAGCTCTCTGCATCGGATGATATTACTGAACGACTTCCTCGTCTTGATAGACCTTCAGGACGCGTATCTCCATGATATCTCGAGTTCCAGAAGTACCTCCGATTTGTATACCAAGGCATTCATTACCAGTGGGCGGCCCTCCCGTTTGAAATTTCTACGGCCCTGTGCATTTTCATGAAGACGGTCGTAGAATGTCTCCATCGGCAGGCGCCTTCTACCTAGACGACTTGCTCCAAGCTCACTAGTTCACAGAAGCCCTTCAAGAAGAGTTAGCGACCACCCTGAATCTACTACGGTACCTCGGGTGGATCGTCAACCTTCAACAGTCGGACTTGGTACCAACTCGGGATCTACAGTACATCGGGATACGCTTCCAGACGGGGGTCAATCTGGTCAAGGTACCTCAAGTCCGTTGGGACAAGCTTGTCAGCAGCGTTCCGAGACTTCTACATGCCCCGGCCTCGGTGCACAAGTGGCAGGAAGTCCTCGGTCTGTTGACATCGGCCCAAGACCTGACTCGCCGAGGTCGTCTTCAACTTCGTCCGCTGCAGAGATGGCTGTACCCCCACCTGGAGTTTCCCAATTTCCTGGTTCCACTTGTGACCTCCCACCTCCTCTCATCCGCACGAAGTTCGAGCCATAGCTTCAACATTAGCACTCCACAGTAATTGTTCGCTGCAAGCTATTTTGGAGGGCTGCTTTTGGAGATCTACTTCAGTGTTTGCTTCGCATTATCTCAGAGATATCTCAACAGAAGATGTTGAAGGACTCAAAGATCTCCCAGAAAAGACAGTGAATTTGTGCTTTATTCACTTTGGACTTTTTGCTCGACACTTCGTGCCAGATAACAGGTTACAATAAAAACTGTTGGTGAATGTACGCATTCTTATGGTTTTTTGTTGTGTGCAGAACTACAGCGAGTTGTTCTGTAACTAAATTATACGCCGACCACACTTCGATCGCAATTCAACTGACGTGTGCAGTTGTCCTGTCGCATCGATAGTTACTTGTGGGTCGAAGAGCATTGACCATGCTGTTTTAGTTACCTTGTATACTGCGAGTTGCTCTGTAACTAAACTATACGTCGACCACACTTCGATCACAGTTCAACTGACGCGTGCAGTTGTCCTGTCGCATCGATAATTAGTTGTGTGTCGAAGAGCATTAACCATGCTGTTTTAGTTACCTTGTATACTGCGAGTTGCTCTGTAACTAAACTATACGTCGACCACACTTCGATTGCAGTTCAACTGACGCGTGCAGTTGTCCTGTCGCATCGATAATTAGTTGTGTGTCGAAGAGCATTAACCATGCTGTGCGTTCGTGATAAACAACTTGTCTCGTCCCTGCATCTGGTTGAATGTGCTATTGTCACTACAGGGGTGAGGAACTTGGTACATTCGACGTGAAAGAGGTCACTTCCTGATTACTTTCCCGACCCTCCTTCCAGTGTTCGGTCGAATTCTACCCATTTGTACGACTGAAAACAGACTAAAACATGGTTTTTTTAGATTAAAAACGATGTTTTATTGGTCTGTTTTCAGTCGTACGTTCGCACCCAGCCATCCCCACAGGGAAGTTATCCAGTCCAGTCATGCTTGATGGCTTATTCTTCGAGATTTGTGACATGTCATAAGGAGGTGCGTGCGCAACCGGACGGAAACAAGTTTAATGTTTACATTCCAGCTTCTGGCTTCCTTTTAAACGTGCGACTAGATGTAAGGGTATGAGAGATACCCATTTGTACGACTGAAAACAGACCAATAAAACATCGTTTTTAATCTGAAAAACCCATATTTTCAGATGTGTCTGGCTGTCCTTGACTCTGTGGTCAGCTACAGCTATCTACCCACCTCAGCTCTCTACCACTCTGTAGCTGCTCTGTGCCACATGGTCAACAAACCCAAGTTCTGTGACGACAGCTGGGAGGTAACTGTACATCGTCCTTGGCAAGTTGGCAGCATCCAAATACATGATCCCGGGGACAGCAGGAGGGAACAAGGGAGAGGATAAACAGGCCTTGACCAGACACAGTGCTGGAGGGGACATGCAGGGTTAGATCAGACACACTGTTGTACAGGACAGACACAGCTGGATCAGACACAGTGTTGTAGAGGACAGTCAGAGCTGAATCAGACACAGTGCAGTAGGGGACAGACAGGGCTTGATCAGACACAATACTGTAGGAAACTGACAGGGCAAGATTTGAGACATAGTGCTGTAGGTGTCAGACAGGGCTGGATCAGACACAATACTGTAGGTAACTGACAGGGCAAGATTTGAGACATAGTGCTGTAGGTGTCAGACAGGGCTGGATCAGACACAATGTTGTAGGTGACAGACAGGGCAACATCAGACAAACGGTGCTGTAGAGGACAGTCAGGGATGGGTCAGACACATGGATGTTGGGGACAGACAGGGCTAGATCAGACACACAGTGCTGTAGGTGTCAGACAGGGCTGGATTGGACACAATGTTGTAGGTGACAGATAGGGCAACATCAGACACACAGTGCTGTAGGTGTCAGACAGGGCTGGGTCAGACACACAGTACTGTAGAGGACAGTCAGGGCTGGGTCAGACACACTGTTGTAGGGGATAGTCAGGGCTGGATCAGACACAATGTTGTAAGGGATAGTCAGGGCTGGATCAGACACAATGTTGTAGGGGATCGACAGGGCTGGATCAGACACAATGTTGGAGGGGATCGACAGGACTGGATCAGACACAATGTTGTAGGGGATCGACAAGGCTGGACCAGACACAGTGTTGTAAGGGATAGTCAGGGCTGGATCAGACACAGTGTTGTAAGGGATAGACAGGGCTGGATCAGACACACTGTTATAGAGGATAGTCAGGGCTGGACCAGACACACTGTTGTAAGGGATAGTCAGGGCTGGATGAGACACACAGTTGTAGGGGATCAACAGGGCTTGATCAGACACACTGTTGTAGGGGATCGACAGGGCTGGATCAGACACACTGTTGTAGGGGATGGACAGGGCTGGATCAGACACAATGTTATAGAGGATAGTCAGGGCTGGATCAGACACAGTGTTATAGAGGATAGTCAGGGCTGGATCAGACAGTGTTGTAAGGGATAGTCAGGGCTGGATCAGACACACTGTTGTAGGGGATAGTCAGGGCTGGATCAGACACAGTGTTGTAAGGGATAGTCAGGGCTGGACCAGACACAATGTTGTAGGGGATAGTCAGGGCTGGATCAGACACAGTGTTGTAAGGGATAGTCAGGGCTGGATCAGACACAATGTTATAGAGGATAGTCAGGGCTGGATCAGACACAGTGTTGTAAGGGATAGTCAGGGCTGGATCAGAAAAAGTGTTGTAATTGATAGTCAGGGCTTGATCAGACACACTGTTGTAGGGGATCGACAGGGCTGGATCAGACACACTGTTGTAGGGGATCGACAGGGCTGGATCAGACAGAGTTGTAGGGGATAGACAGGGCTAGGTCATCCACTCAGGCAAGAGATTGTTGTGGTAAAGTGCTACCTGAAGCACTGGACAAGATGAAGTCAGAACAGTCAATAACTAAGTAAGTAACAATCCCCCTTTCACATGTATTTCAGCTGATGCGGAAACTGCTGGGCACTCACCTGGGGCACAGTGCGGTCTACACCATGTGTTGTATGTTACAGGACAGGTTAGTTTTTACTTAATACTTTATGCAAGTGACAATTTTTGCTTTTATACATCTCACTAAAATGGCAAGTTATAAATGTGTGAGATGTTGAACTGGCAGGGTGTATCTTCATCAACATTCTTGAAACAAGACATTCTTTATTTTCTTTTAGTCTTTCTTAAGAAGTACATGGTTTACAAATGGTGTTTGTTCATCAAGATTTGACTCTCTCTACCAATACACTGCCAGCATGCTATTCGGAATATGTTGGATATGTTTCAGCAAGCTCTTAGCAGACTGCCTATTGCTGCGAGGAGCTGTGTTTTTTGTTGGCATGGCTCTGTGGGGAGCTCACCGTGTCAGCAGCCTCAGGAACACCCCCACTTCGGTTCTACCCTCCTTCAGACAGGTCAGGCACTGCTCCATGTAGTACTAGCGCTGTATGCCCACATACTGTCCACAGTGCTGGCCCTGCATGCCACCATACTGACCATAGTGCCAGCCCTGCATGCCCACATGCTGACCATAGTGCTGGCCCTACATGCCCACATACTGACCACAGTGCTGGCCCTGCATGCCACCATACTGACCATAGTGCTGGCCCTGCATGCCACCATACTGACCATAGTGCTGGCCCTACATGCCACCATACTGACCATAGTGCTGGCCCTGCATGCCACCATACTGACCATAGTGCTGGCCCTCCATTCCCACATTCTGACCATAGTGCTGGCCCTACATGCCACCATACTGACCATAGTGCTGGCCCTGCATGCCCCCATACTGACCATAGTGCTGGCCCTCCATTCCCACATTCTGACCATAGTGCTGGCCCTACATGCCACCATACTGACCATAGTGCTGGCCCTGCATGCCACCATACTGACCATAGTGCTGGCCCTCCATTCCCACATTCTGACCATAGTGCTGGCCCTACATGCCACCATACTGACCATAGTGCTGGCCCTGCATGCCACCATACTGACCATAGTGCTGGCCCTCCATTCCCACATTCTGACCATAGTGCTGGCCCTACATGCCACCATACTGACCATAGTGCTGGCCCTGCATGCCACCATACTGACCATAGTGCTGGCCCTCCATTCCCACATTCTGACCATAGTGCTGGCCCTCCACACCCACATACTGACCACTGTGCTGGCCCTGCATGCCCCCATACTGACCATAGTTCTGGCCCTACATGCCCAAATACTGACTATAGTGCTGGCCCTGCATGCCAACATACTTACCACAGTGCTGGCCCTACATGCCACCATACCGACCATAGTGCTGGCCCTACATGCCCACATACTGACCAAAGTGCTGGCCCTACATGCCCACATACTGACCACAGTGCTGGCCCTGCATGCCACCATACTGACCATAGTGCTGGCCCTGCATGCCACAATACTGACCATAGTGCTGGCCCTGCATGCCACCATACTGACCATACTGCTGGCCCTGCATGCCACCATACTGACCATAGTGCTGGCCCTGCATGCCACCATACTGACCATAGTGCTGGCCCTGCATGCCACCATACTGACCATAGTGCTGGCCCTACATGCCCACATATTGACCAAAGTGCTGGCCCTGGATGCCACCATACTGACCATACTGCTGGCCCTGCATGTCACCATACTGACCATAGTGCTGGGCCCTGCATACTCACATACTGACCACAGTGCTGGCCCTGCATGCCCACATACTGACCATAGTGCTGGCCATCCATTCCCACATTCTGACCATAGTGCTGGCCCTCCACGCCCACATACTGACCACTGTGCTGGCCCTGCATGCCCCCATACTGACCATAGTTCTGGCCTACATGCCCACATACTGACTATAGTGCTGGCCCTACATGCCACCATAATGACCATACTGCTGGCCCTACATGCCCACATACTGACCAGAGTGCTGGCCCTGCAAGCCCACATACTGACCATAGTGCTGGCCCTGCATGCCCACATTCTGACCATAGTGCTGGCCCTGCACGTCCACATAATGACCACAGTGCTGGCCCTGCATGCCACCATACTGACCTTAGTGCTGGCCCTGCATGGCCTAATACTGACCATAGTGCTGGCCCTGCATGCCCACATACTGTCCATAGTACTGGCCCTGCATGCCCACATACTGACCATAGTACGAGCCCTGCATGCCCACATACTGACCACAGTGCTGGCCCTGCATGTCCACATACTGACCACAGTGCTGGCCCTGCATGTCCACATTCTTACCATAGTGCTGGCTCTGCATGTCCACATACTGACCATGTACTGGCCCTGCATGTCCACATACTTACTATACTGCATGTCCACATACTTACCATAGTGCTGGCCCTACATGTCCACATGCGGTACATAGTGCTGGCCCTGCATGCCCACATACTGTCTATAGTGCTGGTCCTGCATGATCACATGTTAGCTGTATAATAACTTCATATTACTTGAGACCGCCTCCATGGTCTCGTAGTAGAGTGTCTGCCTGGAGAGCAGAAGGTTGGGGGTTCGATTCCCAACCGTGTCATACCAAAAGACATTAAAAGTTAGTACTTGTTGCTACCCTGCCTGGCGCTCAGCATTAAGGGGCTAAAACAAGGACTGGTCAACTCAGAGTCAGTTAAGTCTGAGTGGGGTATTCATATATAACTGTGGCATGGTATCTCAGCGGGCTAGCATTATAATTTCAGCAATAGTCTGGACTATTACAAGCTAGTACAAGCAGCAAAATACATGTCTCTACATAAGTGCAGACCCGTGAAGATTCCGGGGTAGAATAGGTCTTCAGCAACCCATGCTTGCTGTAAAAGGCGACTATGCTTGTCGTAAAAGGCGACTAACGGGATCGGGTGGTCAGGCTTGCTGACTTGGTTGATGGATGTCATCGATCCCAATTGCGTGGATCGATGCTCATGATATCAATCACTGGATTGTCTGGTCAAGACTCGATTATTTACAGACCGCCGTCATATAGCTGGAATATTGCTGAGAGCGTCGTTAAACAACAAACCAACCAACCAACCAACCAACATAAGTGCAATAATCTTGAATGCAACATTAAACCCCATTTCACCTCACCTCATATTTCTTGACTGAAACATTAAGTGACAGTCATTAAGTCAATAATGAATAAGAAAATGGTCAATGTAAAGAGGTACAAAGTTAAGGTACTAACTGTGTGTCACCTGGTTTTCTTATTTCACCTAGGTTTTATCCACCTCAGACTGGCTGGTCGCCTATGAAGTTACCAAGTCTGTTCAGAGACTTGTGAGAAAATATGGCAAGGATCAACAGCACATCACCTGGGACATTCTGCTTGATATCATTGAGATCATCCTCAAACAACTGCATACGGCACAGGTAGGCCAGTAGAAAAATCCCTAAAATTAATTCAACCCGGACATTTTAAGGAACAACCAAATTTCTATCACAAATCATAAATTAGGTATAGGAGATGTTATATAAAAAACCCAGACAAAATCAGACTTGAGGAGAATCTACAATGCCATGTCAAAGTTTGCTCCAAATCACTCCCCATTCAGTTTCCCAGTGTTTATAGTTGTACGAAAGTACTACCTGTTGCTACCATAAACAAGATGTCAGCCTCCATGTCGTCTGCTTTACAGTGGAATAATATTCATTTTCTACTTTGTTGCTGTCATGACTGAGAGTGAAAATCATCTAAATGGTGAGTAAAAGTTACTTTCTGTGTACAACATTTGTTACAAATGAATTACTATGTTGATCATTTTACTATTTATGATTCAAATGCACTCTAATGTTAGGCTAGTCAATGGTCAATTAGGCAACTTTTATATTTGATGTATGCTAGATATTTCATCAAATATTAGTATCATGTTCCCATTGATTTCTATGTAAACAAACATTGTTTAGGAATAATGAAATATATGCGTTTCATAGACAACTCAGTCCTTAATCATGGTTAAATTTATACCCTATATATATATATCAAGTGTTGGTTGCAGTGATACTATTTTCCAACATACTAATTTTCAATCTTGGAACGTCAAATGAACCCAATTTTTAATTATTGGTTTTTAACTATTTACTGTAGAAAATCTACATGAAACCCCCTGAATGTAATCTTCAATTCCATACCTTGCAAATTAGCTGTTAGTTGAAGTAATACTATTTTCCATCAGACTTCTTTTCTCTGAGAACATCTTACCAAACCTGATTTGTTTTTGTAATGTAATATGTATGAGAAAAGATATGCAGCAAATAACCTGAATATAATCTTTACATGGATCTGTTGAATTTTCAAGAATATGTTTGTATCAATTACTCATTTTAACAAAGAAAACATAAGTGTTATTAATAAGTTATTTTTCTGTTCATTCTAAAGGATACAGAGTGAGATTCTTATTAGATCACTAATTTCATTGTTCATCTAATATGATTATGCCACAAATAGCCACAACCTATATCAAAAAGAAACTTATGTTCTTTACTTAAAATGTTTTGAAGAAATTAGATGATTAGAACAAAATAGAAAGAGACATATATTTGTTTACCTTTATTCATGGGAGTCAATTAATTGTCCAAAGCATAATAACTCAAGAAATAAAGTTACTTTTTGAGACAATGAATTCAATTATTCAATAATGTTAATTTCTTATAAATCATACTAAAACTACAATATATTGAAATATATGTTTGATTTGAATTCTTACTATTTTCAGGTGAGAATGATGGTCACTGCATCATTTGTGATCAAGCAGGATGGGATGCTAACTTATCAACAAAGGGCTTCCTATCAATTATTTCTTCGTCTTAGAAAAGACAAGATGGAAAACATGAACAACTGCTGCCTCTTATATCTAATAAACAAGCATTTGTTGTGCATGAACAATGCAGGAAGTCATATACTTCATAAAAAAACATACATTATTTCTTGAAGAAAAGAAATTATGAACTTGATACTTTACCGCCAAGAAATCTTCGCACATTACAAATCAATTTTGATTTCAAGACTCACTGTCTTATTTGTGCAGAATGTATTAACTTTCCTAATGTTGAAAAGAATCCTAAAAGACAAAGCATAGGTTCAGTTGAAATTGTTGACAAATTGGATAAATGTAGCACTTTGCAGAATACATTATTGGAACTATGCTCCAAGCGTTCAGATAAGCAGGCTCTGGATGTCAAGTCAAGAATCATATGTGCTGGAGACATAAGAGCAGCAGAGGCAATCTACCATCGCCAATGTTTGCAAACTTTTTTACGCTGTAAACAAGACTGTGATTCGAATGAAAGAAATCTAAATTCAACAAATTCTGAAGGTTTCAGTAACTTGTGCACCTGGTTGTCATCACAAACTGGGAGTCAGTTTACTATATCAGATCTACAGGTAAAACTGTCTTCATTTCTTCCAGAGGATGTTGAACCTTACAGTGTTAAACATTTGAAACGCAAACTGCAAGATCATTTTGGCAATAAACTGAGTATAACTGAACTAGGAGGAAAGAAAAATGTATTCCAATTTAGACATACAGCTTCAGAGATTTTACACCAAGCTTTTCTTACTGATGACCAGGAGGATTGTGATGAATTGATTGCCAAGTCACGCCAATTGGGAAAAAAGCTCAGGAATCTTTTATCTAACATCAAATTTGACACTGAACACTTTCCCTCGCCAGATGAAGTAAACATCAACGCTTTAGAGAGTCAAGTTCCTGAAGCTCTACTGGTTTTCATGAAGAGTCTTTTAGGATTATCTTCAAAATCTTCAGATAGAAATACACTGCAAATGATATCTCTATGTCATATCTTGATGAATGCTGTTGCCCCAAATCCATACCAGTCTCTGTTGCTGTTCTCTACTGGTTTATTCATCCACCAGACTACAAGGTCAAAACTTGTACTCAATCTCCTTTCATCCTTAGGAATGACAGTGTCATATGACACTATTTTGGATTTTGAAAGATCTGCTGTTACAAGTAGAAACATTGATGACCTTCACCCAGGCATTGGTGTCAATGAAGATGGCACAGAAGGATTTTGTCAGTGGATAGCTGATAATTTTGATTACAATGAGGACACAATAAGTGGCCACAATAGCACACATGTCATGGGAATTATCACATGTCAGACACCTGCATCAACACAGAAACTGTCAGTGAGAAGACAAAAAAACTATGCTACAGACATTCTTGCTGCTGGTGATTTCAGCAACATACAACCCTACAGAAATCATCATACAAACGCCATGGCAAAGGTAAAATTTAATCCGGTGGTCGAAGTTATAGTTCCAAAACTGAAGCAATTCCTCTTCCAAGACACAGTGTGGATGCTCTCCAATTTCAGATCACAAATCACCCCAGGATGGCAAGGGTTCATGTCTGATGTGACACATGGGGAGTATATGCAGTCAAAAGTACTTTATCATCCAATGATACCACTCAATCCGCAGACAAATGAAGCAGTCTATTCAACAATGATGTTTGTAGACATGCAACGTCAGAAGATTGGACAGTGTTGTGCACTCCTCACGTTTGATCAACCACTCTACGCCAAAGCTTACAAAATCAAAACAGAAAATCCTTTGGATGTCGAACACATACAGCTTCGCCTTGGAGGATTTCATCAGCTGATGTCCTTTCTTGGATCTGGATGTAAGTCAATGCAATATACTGGATTAGAAGAACTATGGTCATGTGTGTATGCAAAGAACTCAATTCCAAAAATGTTTGAAGGAAAATCTTACCACAAAACTGTAAGGGCATGTCTTTTGACTTGCGCAGCACTACATATTCTTCTCTTTGAACAGCCTCATGAAGACATCATGGATGAAGATGGTGACAATCGTTAACACGAAAATGATTCTGTAGGTAGTGGTTCTTTGTCAGATATTGAACAGATTGCTAAAGATATTTCAAGTCGGAAAAATTTGATGACTTTGAAGAGACAGTGGATAACATTCTAGGCAAAGTTGACAAAGAAAAGGCAAAACACCTACAGTCAAGGACATCAAAATTATGGCTTCAATTCATGGATTTTGTCTCAACAATGTGTATGTTCATTAGAGCTGAAAGAACAGGTGATTGGCTCCTGCATTTGAAAGCTTCACAAGACATGCTTCCCTGGTTTGCTGCGACAGGACATAACAATTATGCCAAGTATTGTCGTCTATATATTCAAGATTTTGTAAATCCATGCCCCTGTCTTCACAAACAACTAGAGGATGGCCTCTTTACGATTCATCGGAGTCAAAAGTTATTCTGGAGTGGCACTTGGTCTGATATGGTGATAGAACAATCTCTCATGAGGTCAGGGAAGACATCAGGCGGTCTCATAAACATAACTCACAAAGACAGTGCAAGGACAAGATGGCTTCTATCAGCACACATTGTTGCACAGTACACAGAGGAGTTGAGAATGTTGACAAATACATCATACAATTCATGGAGTGATCATCATCGAGAACTAAATCCAGGAAGAATGAATCAAGATTACATTGATATGAACAAATTCTTAGATTTCCTACGAAGTCACAATCCATTTACTGGAGTCCAGTCTGAACTTCGCAACATAGCTACTTGTGTTATTGCTGATGACAGGGTTAATGCTGACAGGACAGTCAGTATAGGAAGTTCAATACAATCTCTAATTACAAACCATTCTTTTGGAGATGTTTCAATGAAGAAAAGTCAACAAGTGGTGACATTTGACATCATGAATCGTGCAGTAACACTAACAAGTGGAGAAAGACTTCGCATGTCATCACTTGAGTTGTATCAACGACTTCTCGCTATTGCCTACACGATAGGACCACCATCTCCATCTGTGTTCTGCCATGAACTTTCGTCTGTGGCACCTGCCTTGTTCCATGATGATGGTAGCATGAGAAAATCAACGAAATCACACTCGCCAAATGCATAATGAAGATGACTTCAAATGTTGAAACTGATGTTCCATCAGTATCAACAGTCTTTGATGGATGTGCGTTACTTCAACAGTTGAAATGGCCAAAGGTTGGGACAATGTTGGACGTCTGTGAAATATTCCTCTCTACGATTCATCACAGGTCATCCTTGAATCATGAGGTAACTGTTGTGTTCGACAGTTATGATGTAACAACAACAAAAGATCAAGAACAGAAGGGCAGAAAGCTCTCAAGAACTGCAATGGCTGATGTTATGCTGAAGTCAAATACTCCAGTTCCAAGTGATGCAGCAAGTTTTCTTGCCAACAAGAAAAACAAACAACAAACAATTAATCTCCTTTCATCATACATACAAGAGAACTCACGTGTGTTAGTAAGCCATGCAGGGGATGAAGGGGACGCTGATGTTGTTATTGTTCAAAGAGCTGTGGAGTTGGCAGAGAAACATGAAACCGTCCATGTCATTTCTGATGATACTGACATTTTTGTCCTTCTGATACATCATGTGGATTCCCAGAGCAATGTTTACATGAAGACAAGATCAAGAACTATGTCAATAAAAGAAGCAAAACATTGCCTAGGAGAACAATTGTGTCACAATCTTCCTTTCCTTCATGCAGTATCAGGTTGTGATACAACATCTTCCTTCTTCGGCTTTGGAAAATCTAAACATCTGGCTTATTTCACTTCCGCAGAGCAATTACATGAGAAAGTCACAGTTTTTGGAGAATCATCTGTTCCTCTCCAAGTAATCAAAGAAGTGGGAGAACAGTATGTCTGTGGACTCTATGGTGGGAAACAAAACGAGAAACTGGATGAGTTGAGATTCAAAAATGTAAAATCAACCAAGTTCACAAGTGTAGAGCGCATGCCTCCAACAAGCCGGGCATGTTATTTTCATTGTCTAAGGGTTCATCTGCAAGTGTCAACATGGAAGTCTCTTAAAACTGTTTTGGACAAAGAAACACATGGCTTCAAATCAGTTGAAGGGAGTAAAGTCCCAATTATAACAGACATGCCTCCAGCCCCTCCAGAACTCTTGAAGGAAATAAAGTGTTCTTGTAAATCATCTAACAGACTCTGCACATCCTGTAGTTGTGTCAAAAGGGGGATTCAATGCAGCATCCACTGCAAATGTGAAAGTAACTGTGAGAATAGGCAGGACTTAAATGCAGAATATGAAAACTATTAATAGACTTCATATCATGTTAATTGTGCTCTCATAGGTGAAACTGGCATGTGTTCTTTGTAAATGTACTTCAAATAATGTCCATAATATTCATAGTTCCAGTTCATATAGCACACTCAAACATTGTATGTGGAAAGCAATGAAGTTTGTCTTTTTATGTGCGTTTCATAAAGTTGAAAACTGCCAAAAAATATGATGCTGTTATCCTTTTCTTATAACTAAAATTATATGTAAATTATTAGATAATAATAATAATAATAATTTTTTTAAAACCATAATTATATCCACAGTTCTTGTAGATAGTGAAAGAATTCAGAGGATACGAAAGTTATTGATATATTTTTAAGATTTACAGACATAATTATTAAAATTATAATTTTAGAAGACATGTAAATATAAATTATTACATTGTTGAACTTTGTAAGCCTTAATGGGTGCATTAAGATTTGTGTAACATAGTAATATGAATACACATTTGTTCTAATTTGGCCGAATACAGGCACAAGTATAGGTATGATAGGCGTATTTTCAAATGGGTGTAGACAATTTTCCTCAAGTCTGAATTTTTCTGGGTTTTGTGTGTACCACAACTATACCTTAAGGAAACATAAAAACATAAAATTTGGTTGTTCTGTAAAATGTCCGGGTTTCCGACCATTTTTACTGGCCTAAGGTCAGTGACGTACATAGAAATAGCATCAGGGCTAGCATCAAAACGCGAATGCAGTACTTCAGAATACAATAGAATCTATTACTTTGCCAGCCATCAGTCACTACAGTGAGGCCAATACACCAGTAACATGTGACATCTCTACAAAATACAACCCATGTTTCACCCATGCTTGTTGTAAGAGGCGACTAACGGGATCCGGTGGTCAGGCTCCCTGACTTGGTTGATGCATGTCATCATATTTTCAATTGCATGGATTCAGGCTCATGATGTCAATCACTGGATTGTCTTGTCCAGACTCAATTATTTACAGACTGATGTAATATTGCTGAAAAATTGCTATGTGCAGCATTAAATATCAAATAAACAAACAAAACAAACAAAATCTCTACACAATAGCCACACCCATTTGCAAGCAATCTTGTGAGGCCAGTACACCAGTATACTGTTATCTCAAATAATTATTACAACATACATTGTTATTTCAACCAGGATTTTCTGGCTCAGTCACAAGAGTCACTGCTGACAGTTTAAAGTCTGGCCATGTGTTTTCAGCTGAGTGGTGCTGTTCCTGACTCGGCCAGGCAGTGTCAGCTGGAGGTGCACGACGTCCTGTCTGCCGTGGAAGAACTACATCGACACGGGCACTTCCTCGGATCTCCACACAGGTTCTTCACCATCCTGGAACTCTGTTCCAATAACAGATCGGTAAACTTTTTTTATTCTTTGAACGGTTTGTTATATGAAAGTCATAAATACTATTTTTTTAGCTTATGTTGTGGCCTGTTTTTATGGCGTTTGTCGTGCATCATGTCTGCCACAGCAGCCTTATTGAAAAAGCCTCTTTTGTCAATATGTGTGTAATTAAGTAGACAGTAGTGGGACTCAACATGCATGTTCCATTTTTGATTCTGACTTTGATTTGACCTTTCTTATGTTCTTATGGCCATAAATCAGCCATTTGATAATAACACATTTGTTCCGTTTTTCATGATATTTTACATTTTACCTGTGTTTAACCTTTACACATTGCTTCGAGATTCTCTTAAAAAGCATTGCCTCACACCGTAAACACCATCAAGAGATAACATCACAATGTGTTCAAAATGTCCGAATCCGATTTGTGGTCATTTCTCTGGTGGGGCAGTCAGATAGCCTAGTGGTTAAAGGGTTCGCTCGTCATGTCGAAGAACCGGGTTCGATTCCCGACATGGGTACAATGTGTGAAGCACATTTCTTGTGTCCCCCTCCATGATATTGCTGGAATAATGCTATAAGCGTCGTAAAACCATACTCACTCACTCACTCATTTCACTGGCATTTTTGTTCGAAATGTATTGAAATTTGGTGTTTGTTCAGTTTCAATATAAATGTTTTGGGTTCTTTACATGCTCTTCAATTAACTCAAAAGGCATATACATTTGGCTCTGTAAATGCAGGTGTATCCAGGGGTGACGTCAGCGTCAGGCAGGTGTATCCAGGGATGATGTTGGGGTTTTGCAGGTGTATCCAGGGGTGATGTCTAGGTCATGCAGGTGTATCAAGGGGTGATGACGGGGTCATGCAGGTGTATCCAGGGGTGATGTCTTGTCATGCAGGTGTATCCAGGGATAATGTCTGGGTCAGGCAGGTGTATCCAGGGATGATGTCTGGGTCGGACAGGTGTATCCAGGGGTGATGTCTAGGTCAGGCAGGTGTATCCAGGGATCATGTCTGGGTCGTGCAGGTGTATCCAGGGATGATGTCTGGGTCAGGCAGGTGTATCCAGGGATGATGTCTGGGTCAGGTAGATGTATCCAGGGATGATGTCTGGGTCATGCAGTGTATCCAGGGATGATGTCTAGGTCAGGCACGTGTATCAAGATGTGATGTCTAGGTCAGGCAGGTGTATCCAGGGATGATGTCTAGGTCAGGCAAGTGTTTCAAGATGTGATGTCTGGGTCAGGCAGGTGTATCCAGGGATGATGTCTAGGTCAGGCAAGTGTATCAAGATGTGATGTCTAGGTCAGGCAGGTGTATCCAGGGATGATGTCTGGGTCAGGCAGGTGTATTCAGGGGTGATGTCTGGGGCAGGCAGGTGTATCCAGGGGTAATGTCTCGGTCAGGCAGGTGTATCCAGGGGTGAAGTCTAGGTCAGACAGGTGTATCCAGGGGTGATGTCTAGGTCATGCAGGTGTATCCAGGGGTGACGTCTAGGTCAGACAGGTGTATCAAGGGGTAATGTCTGGGTCAGGCAGGTGTATTCAGGGGTGATGTCTGGGGCAGGCAGGTGTATCCAGGGGTAATGTCTCGGTCAGGCAAGTGTATCCAGGGGTGAAGTCTAGGTCAGACAGGTGTATCCAGGGATGATGTCTAGGTCATGCAGGTGTATCCAGGGGTGACGTCTAGGTCAGACAGGTGTATCAAGGGGTAATGTCTGGGTCAGGCAGGTGTATTCAGGGATGATGTCTGGGTCAGGCAGGTGTATCTAGGGATGATGTCTGGGTCAGGCAGGTGTATCTAGGGATGATGTCTGGGTCAGGCAGGTGTATCCAGGGGTAATGTCTGGGTCATGCAGGTGTATCCAGGGGTGATGTCTAGGTCAGACAGGTGTATCAAGGGGTGATGTCTGGGTCATGCAGGTGTATCCATGGGTGACGCCTAGGTCAGACAGGTGTATCAAGGGGTGTCTGGGTCATGCAGGTGGATCCTGTTATCATGTCGGGGTCATGCAGATGTATCCAGGGGTGATGACGGGGTCATGCAGGTGTATCCAGGGGTGATGTCTAGGTCAGGCAGGTGTATCCAGGGATAATGTCGGGGTCGTGCAGGTGTATCAAGGGATGATGTCTGGGTCATGCAGGTGTATCTAGGGATGATGTCTTGTAATGCAGGTGTATCCAGGGATGATGCTTGTCATGCAGGTGTATCCAGGGATGATGTCTGGGTCATGCAGGTGTATCCAGGGATGATGTCTGGGTCAAGCTGGTGTATCCAGGGATGATGTCAGGTCATGCAGCTGTATCCAGGGGTGATGTCTAGTTCAGGCAGATGTATCCAGGGGTGATGTCTGGGTCATGCAGGTGTATCCAGGGATGATGTCTGGGTCAAGCTGGTGTATCCAGGGATGATGTCAGAGTCATGCAGCTGTATCCAGGGGTGATGTTGGGGTCGTGCAGCTGTATCCAGGGATGATGTCGGGGTCATGCAGGTGTATCCAGGGATGATGTCTAGGTCATGCAGGTGTATCCAGGGGTGAAGTCTGGGTCAGACAGGTATATCCAGGGGTAATGTCTGGGTCAGGCAGGTGTATCCATGGGTGATGTCTGGGTCAGGCAGGTGTATCAAGATGTGATGTCTGGGTCAGGCAGGTGTATCCAGGGATGATGTCTGGGTCAGGCAGGTGTATTCGGGGGTGATGTCTGGGTCATGCAGGTGTATCCAGGGATGATATCTGGGTCAGGCAGGTGTATCCAGGGGTGACATCAGCGTCGGGCAGGTGTATCCAGGGATGATGTCAGGGTCATGCAGCTGTATCCAGGGGTGTTGTCTGGGTCATGCAGGTGTATCCAGGGGTGACGTCTGTGTCAGGCAAGTGTATCTAGGGATGATGTCTGGGTCATGCAGGTGTATCCAGGGATGATGTCTGGGTCATGCAGCTGTATCCAGGGATGATGTCAGGGTCATGCAGGTGTATCTAGGGATGATGTCTGGGTCATGCAGCTGTATCCAGGGATGATGTCAGGGTCATGCAGGTGTATCCAGGGATGATGTCTAGGTCAGGCAGGTGTATCCAGGGATGATGTCTAGGTCAGGCAAGTGTATCAAGGAGTGATGTCTAGGTCAGGCAGGTGTATCCAGGGATGATTTCTAGGTCAGGCAGGTGTATCCAGGGGTGATGTCTGGGTCAGGCAGGTGTATCCAGGGATGATGTCTAGGTCAGGCAGATGTACCCAGGGATGATGTCTGGGTCAGGCAGGTGTATCCAGGGATGATGTCTAGGTCAGGCAGGTGTATCCAGGGATGATGTCTGGGTCATGCAGGTGTATCCAGGGATGATGCCTTGGTCAGGAAGGTGTATCCAGGGATGATGTCTGGGTCAGGCAGATGTATCCAGGGATGATGTCTGGGTCAGGCAGGTGTATCCAGGGATAATGTCTGGGTCAGGCAGGTGTATCCAGGGATGATGTCTAGGTCAGGCACGTATATCAAGATGTGATGCCTGGGTCAGGCAGGTGTATTCAGGGATGATGTCTGGGTCAGGCAGGTGTATTCAGGGGTGATGTCTGGGGCAGGCAGGTGTATCCAGGGGTAATGTCTCGGTCAGGCAGGTGTATCCAGGGGTGAAGTCTAGGTCAGACAGGTGTATCCAGGGGTGATGTCTAGGTCATGCAGGTGTATCCAGGGGTGACGTCTAGGTCAGACAGGTGTATCAAGGGGTAATGTCTGGGTCAGGCAGGTGTATTCAGGGGTGGTGTCTGGGGCAGGCAGGTGTATCCAGGGGTAATGTCTCGGTCAGGCAAGTGTATCCAGGGGTGAAGTCTAGGTCAGACAGGTGTATCCAGGGATGATGTCTAGGTCATGCAGGTGTATCCAGGGGTGACGTCTAGGTCAGACAGGTGTATCAAGGGGTAATGTCTGGGTCAGGCAGGTGTATTCAGGGATGATGTCTGGGTCAGGCAGGTGTATCTAGGGATGATGTCTGGGTCAGGCAGGTGTATCTAGGGATGATGTCTGGGTCAGGCAGGTGTATCCAGGGGTAATGTCTGGGTCATGCAGGTGTATCCATGGGTGACGTCTAGGTCAGACAGGTGTATCAAGGGGTGATGTCTGGGTCATGCAGGTGTATCCATGGGTGACGCCTAGGTCAGACAGGTGTATCAAGGGGTGTCTGGGTCATGCAGGTGGATCCTGTTATCATGTCGGGGTCATGCAGATGTATCCAGGGGTGATGACGGGGTCATGCAGGTGTATCCAGGGGTGATGTCTAGGTCAGGCAGGTGTATCCAGGGATAATGTCGGGGTCGTGCAGGTGTATCAAGGGATGATGTCTGGGTCATGCAGGTGTATCTAGGGATGATGTCTTGTAATGCAGGTGTATCCAGGGATGATGCTTGTCATGCAGGTGTATCCAGGGATGATGTCTGGGTCATGCAGGTGTATCCAGGGATGATGTCTGGGTCAAGCTGGTGTATCCAGGGATGATGTCAGGTCATGCAGCTGTATCCAGGGGTGATGTCTAGTTCAGGCAGATGTATCCAGGGGTGATGTCTGGGTCATGCAGGTGTATCCAGGGATGATGTCTGGGTCAAGCTGGTGTATCCAGGGATGATGTCAGAGTCATGCAGCTGTATCCAGGGGTGATGTTGGGGTCGTGCAGCTGTATCCAGGGATGATGTCGGGGTCATGCAGGTGTATCCAGGGATGATGTCTAGGTCATGCAGGTGTATCCAGGGGTGAAGTCTGGGTCAGACAGGTATATCCAGGGGTAATGTCTGGGTCAGGCAGGTGTATCCATGGGTGATGTCTGGGTCAGGCAGGTGTATCAAGATGTGATGTCTGGGTCAGGCAGGTGTATCCAGGGATGATGTCTGGGTCAGGCAGGTGTATTCGGGGGTGATGTCTGGGTCATGCAGGTGTATCCAGGGATGATATCTGGGTCAGGCAGGTGTATCCAGGGGTGACATCAGCGTCGGGCAGGTGTATCCAGGGATGATGTCAGGGTCATGCAGCTGTATCCAGGGGTGTTGTCTGGGTCATGCAGGTGTATCCAGGGGTGACGTCTGTGTCAGGCAAGTGTATCTAGGGATGATGTCTGGGTCATGCAGGTGTATCCAGGGATGATGTCTGGGTCATGCAGCTGTATCCAGGGATGATGTCAGGGTCATGCAGGTGTATCTAGGGATGATGTCTGGGTCATGCAGCTGTATCCAGGGATGATGTCAGGGTCATGCAGGTGTATCCAGGGATGATGTCTAGGTCAGGCAGGTGTATCCAGGGATGATGTCTAGGTCAGGCAAGTGTATCAAGGAGTGATGTCTAGGTCAGGCAGGTGTATCCAGGGATGATTTCTAGGTCAGGCAGGTGTATCCAGGGGTGATGTCTGGGTCAGGCAGGTGTATCCAGGGATGATGTCTAGGTCAGGCAGATGTACCCAGGGATGATGTCTGGGTCAGGCAGGTGTATCCAGGGATGATGTCTAGGTCAGGCAGGTGTATCCAGGGATCATGTCTGGGTCATGCAGGTGTATCCAGGGATGATGCCTTGGTCAGGAAGGTGTATCCAGGGATGATGTCTGGGTCAGGCAGATGTATCCAGGGATGATATCTGGGTCAGGCAGGTGTATCCAGGGGTGACATCAGCGTCGGGCAGGTGTATCCAGGGATGATGTCAGGGTCATGCAGCTGTATCCAGGGGTGTTGTCTGGGTCATGCAGGTGTATCCAGGGGTGACGTCTGTGTCAGGCAAGTGTATCTAGGGATGATGTCTGGGTCATGCAGGTGTATCCAGGGATGATGTCTGGGTCATGCAGCTGTATCCAGGGATGATGTCAGGGTCATGCAGGTGTATCTAGGGATGATGTCTGGGTCATGCAGCTGTATCCAGGGATGATGTCAGGGTCATGCAGGTGTATCCAGGGATGATGTCTAGGTCAGGCAGGTGTATCCAGGGATGATGTCTAGGTCAGGCAAGTGTATCAAGGAGTGATGTCTAGGTCAGGCAGGTGTATCCAGGGATGATTTCTAGGTCAGGCAGGTGTATCCAGGGGTGATGTCTGGGTCAGGCAGGTGTATCCAGGGATGATGTCTAGGTCAGGCAGATGTACCCAGGGATGATGTCTGGGTCAGGCAGGTGTATCCAGGGATGATGTCTAGGTCAGGCAGGTGTATCCAGGGATGATGTCTGGGTCATGCAGGTGTATCCAGGGATGATGCCTTGGTCAGGAAGGTGTATCCAGGGATGATGTCTGGGTCAGGCAGATGTATCCAGGGATGATGTCTGGGTCAGGCAGGTGTATCCAGGGATAATGTCTGGGTCAGGCAGGTGTATCCAGGGATGATGTCTAGGTCAGGCACGTATATCAAGATGTGATGTCTGGGTCAGGCAGGTGTATTCAGGGATGATGTCTGGGTCAGGCAGGTGTATTCAGGGGTGATGTCTGGGGCAGGCAGGTGTATCCAGGGGTAATGTCTCGGTCAGGCAGGTGTATCCAGGGGTGAAGTCTAGGTCAGACAGGTGTATCCAGGGGTGATGTCTAGGTCATGCAGGTGTATCCAGGGGTGACGTCTAGGTCAGACAGGTGTATCAAGGGGTAATGTCTGGGTCAGGCAGGTGTATTCAGGGGTGATGTCTGGGGCAGGCAGGTGTATCCAGGGGTAATGTCTCGGTCAGGCAAGTGTATCCAGGGGTGAAGTCTAGGTCAGACAGGTGTATCCAGGGATGATGTCTAGGTCATGCAGGTGTATCCAGGGGTGACGTCTAGGTCAGACAGGTGTATCAAGGGGTAATGTCTGGGTCAGGCAGGTGTATTCAGGGATGATGTCTGGGTCAGGCAGGTGTATCTAGGGATGATGTCTGGGTCAGGCAGGTGTATCTAGGGATGATGTCTGGGTCAGGCAGGTGTATCCAGGGGTAATGTCTGGGTCATGCAGGTGTATCCAGGGGTGACGTCTAGGTCAGACAGGTGTATCAAGGGGTGATGTCTGGGTCATGCAGGTGTATCCATGGGTGACGCCTAGGTCAGACAGGTGTATCAAGGGGTGTCTGGGTCATGCAGGTGGATCCTGTTATCATGTCGGGGTCATGCAGATGTATCCAGGGGTGATGACGGGGTCATGCAGGTGTATCCAGGGGTGATGTCTAGGTCAGGCAGGTGTATCCAGGGATAATGTCGGGGTCGTGCAGGTGTATCAAGGGATGATGTCTGGGTCATGCAGGTGTATCTAGGGATGATGTCTTGTAATGCAGGTGTATCCAGGGATGATGCTTGTCATGCAGGTGTATCCAGGGATGATGTCTGGGTCATGCAGGTGTATCCAGGGATGATGTCTGGGTCAAGCTGGTGTATCCAGGGATGATGTCAGGTCATGCAGCTGTATCCAGGGGTGATGTCTAGTTCAGGCAGATGTATCCAGGGGTGATGTCTGGGTCATGCAGGTGTATCCAGGGATGATGTCTGGGTCAAGCTGGTGTATCCAGGGATGATGTCAGAGTCATGCAGCTGTATCCAGGGGTGATGTTGGGGTCGTGCAGCTGTATCCAGGGATGATGTCGGGGTCATGCAGGTGTATCCAGGGATGATGTCTAGGTCATGCAGGTGTATCCAGGGGTGAAGTCTGGGTCAGACAGGTATATCCAGGGGTAATGTCTGGGTCAGGCAGGTGTATCCATGGGTGATGTCTGGGTCAGGCAGGTGTATCAAGATGTGATGTCTGGGTCAGGCAGGTGTATCCAGGGATGATGTCTGGGTCAGGCAGGTGTATTCGGGGGTGATGTCTGGGTCATGCAGGTGTATCCAGGGATGATATCTGGGTCAGGCAGGTGTATCCAGGGATGATGTCTGGGTCAGGCAGGTGTATCCAGGGATAATGTCTGGGTCAGGCAGGTGTATCCAGGGATGATGTCTAGGTCAGGCACGTATATCAAGATGTGATGTCTGGGTCAGGCAGGTGTATTCAGGGATGATGTCTGGGTCAGGCAGGTGTATTCAGGGGTGATGTCTGGGTCAAGCAGGTGTATCCAGGGGTGACATCTAGGTCAGACAGGTGTATCCAGGGGTGATGTCTAGGTCATGCAGGTGTATCCAGGGGTGACGTCTAGATCAGACAGGTGTATCAAGGGGTAATGTCTGGGTCAGGCAGGTGTATCCAGGGGTGATGTCTAGGTCAGGCAGGTGTATCCAGGGATGACGTCAGCGTCAGGCAGGTGTACCTAGGGGTGATGTCTGGGTCAGGCAGATGTATCCAGGGATGATGTAGGGGTCTTGCAGGTGTATCCAGGGGTGAAGACGGGGTCATGCAGGTGTATCCAGGGGTGATGACGGGGTCATGCAGGTTTATCCAGGGGTGATGTCTAGGTCAGGCAGATGTATCCATGGGCTGATGTCTAGGTCAGGCAGGTGTATTTAGGGGTGATGTCTGGGTCAGGCAGGTGTATCCAGGGGTAATGTCTGGGTAATGCAGGTTTATCCAGGGGTGATGTCTAGGTCAGGCAGATGTATCCAGGGGTGATGTCTAGGTCAGGCAGGTGTATTTAGGGGTGATGTCTGGGTCAGGCAGGTGTATCCAGGGGTAATGTCTGGGTCAGGCAGGTGTATCCAGGGGTGACATCTAGGTCAGACAGGTGTATCCAGGGGTGATATCAAGGTCATGCAGGTGTATCCAGGGGTGACATCTAGGTCAGACAGGTGTATCAAGGGGTTATGTCTGGGTCATGCAGGTGTATCCAGGGGTGATTTCTGGGTCATGCAGGTGTATTCAGGGATGATGTCTGGGTCAGGCAGGTGTATCTAGGGATGATGTCTGGGTCAGGAAGGTGTATCCAGGAATGATGTCTGGGTCAGGCAGGTGTATCTAGGGGTAATGTCTGGGTCATGCAGGTGTATCCAGGGGTGACGTCTAGGTCAGACAGGTGTATCAAGGGGTGATGTCTAGATCATGCAGGTGGTTCCAGGGGTTATGTCTGGGTCATGCAGGTGTACTCAGGGGTGACGTCTAGGTCAGAAAGGTGTATCAAGGGGTGAAGCTGGGTCATGCAGGTGGATCAAGTTATGATGTCTGGGTCAGGCAGGTGTATCCAGGGGTGATGTCTAGGTCAGGGAGGTGTATCCAGGGATGATGTCCGGGTCGTGCAGGTGTATCAAGGGATGATGTCTTGTCATGCAGGTGTATCAAGGAATGATGTCTTGTAATGCAGGTGTATCCAGGGATGATGTCTTGTCATGCAGGTGTATCCAGGGATGATGTCTTGTCATGCAGGTGTATCCAGGGATGATGTCTTGTCATGCAGGTGTATCCAGGGGTGATGTCTAGGTCAGGCAGGTGTATCCAGGGGTGAAGTCCAGGTCAGGCAAGTGTATCCAGGAGTGACATCTGGGTCATTCATGTATATCCTTTGGTTATGTCTAGGTCTTGCAGATTTATTGGGATGATGTGTATTGCAGGAGTCTTCTGTTGAGATGCTGATGGAGCACCAGGCCCAGGCCATACACCCAGGCAAAGAGCAGTGGATGCAGAGTCTGAACCACCTCATGGACAAGTACTTTAGGTACTGCCTTGCCTTACCCAAACTACCACAGTGACATACATCCTGTGACTGTACATATTTCCTTTGCTGTATTGCAGTGTGTATTTCATCATGTACAGTGTTTGTCTTAAACTTGCAGGCAAGAAACCAGAACTGGCATTCGCAAGAAAGCTTTGGATATCCTGTCCCATGTACTCAGCATTAACAAACATGTTTATGAGGTATGTGATTCCCGCACCAAGGGAACAGAATGTGACCCATGCTTGCCAAAGAGGCAACTATGCTTGTTGTAAGAGGCGACTAACAGGATCGGATGGTCTGTCTAGGTCACTTGGTTGATGCATGCCATAGTATCCCCACTGCTTAGATCGATGCTCATTATGTCAATCAATTGATTCAATCCAAACTTAATTATGAACAGACCACCATCATATAGTTGGAATATTGCTGAGTGCAGATGATGAACATTAGTACATACATTAACTGGTTCGTGGCAGGAATCAAGTATGTATAACCTCCTTTCAATGAAGAATATTTAGGCCTCCCTGTTGACGCTATGGGCGACATGAAGCTGGACCAGGTGTACCTCAAATCATATTGTGAAGATCTTCAGCCTGCCCAAGTGTGGATGTCTTCCCAAGTTCTGCTCACCCGGCAGTAGCTGCTCCTACAACAAGTATGTCATAGGGTACCTGATGGGCTTCATCTGAATAACTGAATATTATGTCACAGTGTTCTTTAACAGAAAGTTGCATACAGTCATGGATGAGGTTACTGGATCTACCAATCAAAGGCCTCTACTTGTCGTCTGGTGACAAGAGTACAAAAATTACCAGCCAAAACTGAGAGAAATCAGAGAGATCCATCCAAACTAAATCCAAAGGCATGTCACTGGGGCATTGTGCCCCTGTGTCGAAGGATAGATCAACACGCCCCAACTCTAACTGCAACAGCTATGAGGAAGAAGATATGTGGATGTCAACTTCTTTATAATGAGGAACACAACGTTTCAGAGTATATACTTACTCTTTCATCAGGTGAATAAATGCTTTGAGGCAGAGAACAACAACATTAATAAACTTAAAATGGGAACCCTGTAAATATGAAAGTTATGTTAATCACATAAAATAAATAATGCATTAATAACTTAATTAAGTTCGTGTTTCATTCATAACGTCTAGATTAAGCTCCTAGGAAGCAATCTGAAAATGATTATGAATGGAAGTTCAAGTAAGATTGTCCTGTTTTTGGCTTTCCGCTGAGTGACATGAGAAAATACCAGGAAATACCTTTGTTTTCGAAATTTTGTATAAATAACACGTGCAAATATTCGTTTGATGTTTGGTATCGTTAAAGAAAGGTCTGAATATCAATTATATTACAATAACCTCGCCAGGAGTATGTTCGTAATTATAACATGCGATTTCATTGGATAGAAATTTGTTTCTAATGGCGCCTTTGTTGCAATCAAATTTAAGGATCAATTAAGGGTCAAAATCAAGCACATGGCATAAGGCAGCTTATCGAGTTACAGCAAATCAACAAATCCCAAACACTGGGCAGATAAATTCCCTTGTCACGGTTCATGGCTGGCTGGTGTCGCCTGATGTCAATGACTTCTTGTAGTTTTCTTTGTTGTCGGTAGACAGGACTTTGGTGGCTTCCCACATGATGTTATGGTCTTGGTTCTTGAGGATGTTTTCCAAAATAGCGGATTTCAGGTCTAGTTTGTTGACAGAGGTGTGATGTTCTTTGAGACTGGTGTTGAGGGGTCTGAGGGTTTCTCCAATGTATTGTTGGCCACAGTTGCAGGGGATCAGGTATTTACATCCTCTGGGGTTGGGACTTGCATTGCTTGTGTCTGCCATTGGCTCGTGGAGGGGTCTTAATGGACTTGCCGCTAGAAAAGGTGACATCTATGTGACATGATGTCACTCTGATGAGGCGGGAAATATGATGAGTGACAGTGCCTTTGTAGGGTATGGTGATTCTGATGGGCGATGGGGCAGGTCTGGGTCCTGGATGGTTTTTGGGACTAGGTGGGCAGGGTAGTTGTTGAGGGCAGTGGAGGTTTTCTTGAGATGGTCCAGTTCACTTCTGAGGGCATCAGGGTGGCAAATGGACTTGGCACGTCGGTGAGGGTGGCAGTGATGGCTAGTGTCCAACACCATCTGCAAGAGGGAGGGAGGGAACATAATACATGAAAGGTAGCTTCTTCAAGACATGTAAACATCTGAGTCATCTTTCAAAGAATGAACAAAGGAATTCCACTTACTAACAAAAAATTTCATTGTACTATTCTTTATTACGATGTCTTTTTCAATTTTCAACACGTCATTGACAATTTTAATAAATACGTTGAAAGACAAGTTGTTTCTTGATGCTTGAAACAAAACTATATTGTTTGGCCAGAAGCAAATGTGGTCCAAACAAAAATTGCTAGAATTTTTGAAACAATATAATATCTCATGAAATGTTCTAGCGAGGGAAATCCTACTTGCTAAATATAAGTTGAGAATATTTTCATTTTTTACCTGGTATTGTTTTACATGTTCACATTTAATATACACATGAAAAAGACTTTCTTGTTCATACTCACAACAAGAGCATACATCCTCATCTTCAAGTTCTATAATATCAAAGGTGATATATGGGCCTACATTGTTAGCCAAGGGCGCAACATCTACAGCTTACCAAAAGTGATGTCGCAGGAGACCTCAGAAAGTAACGTCATTATCACCAAAAGGATACAATTGTGGCGTCATCAGAAAAGAAGTGATGTCCTCATTATAGGATCAAACGATATATATGGTTCTACGTTGTTGGTCAAGAGTGCAACTTGTACAATTAACCAGAATGACAAATGACCTCAGAACTGGAAGTGACATCAGAAGTAATGTCATATATGACCAAAAGGTAACTGAAGTGACAATACCCAACATCTATTACATCATAGATGTCATCATGAACAGAAAATGATGTCTTAGAACTGGAAGTGACATCATAAATGTTGAATAATTGTTGTTTCTACGATGAAAATTAAGAGATTGGGGCATTATACATGTGTTTTTCCTATATTCCTTCTTCATTGCTGCCAACCACCTGGGATTACTACATGGCAGATCCCACCGGTCCCTCTGGTGTATTCTGGCTGTGATGTAATAGATGTAGGGTATTTGAAGGAATTATCAGACTATAGTTATCATTGTGTATATTTCTAAGAATACTACCTTTATTACATCTCCCACTAGCTTATGTGCATGTAGGTTATTAGAAAGAAGGGACATTTTCCCACCTCAGGCATGCGCAGTTGCATTGGCCTGAACATGGCATTTACCACAAAAAAACTAAGATAGTGTTAAAGATAGTAATAATTTATGAGACAATATTAAAGATTTTATGGTGTGATGACCGTGATGATCTGATACAAGCAACAGCAATGTGTCCCTAAAGCCATCTTTATAGATCTGTATTGGTTTCCACCTATGTGTTCGCTGTCCATCGTGTTGTGACAGTATTATCCTGCTGTTGTCCACACTTACTCATGTTATCCCACCTATCTATGCAATTGTGGTTACTGTTAATCCTCTACTGTTAATTCTCCACCTACTATATATATTCTGTACAATGTCCCTCATTCAGACCTGCTTGAGAACGGTATAAGGATCTATACTAAAACGTCGCTTTTTACAGTATTAAAGAAGTTGTTATCCATAAAATTGTGTCTACCTTGTCATCCGTCAACTTCTAAGTAATGCCTATCAAACAAAATGATAATCTCATACCAGCAACAGCAATATGTCACAACAGTCGTCTTTATGTAACTATGATAATCTCATACCAGCAACAGCAATATGTCACAACAGTTTTCTTTATGTAACAAATATGACCTGATACCGGCAACAGCAAAATGTCACATTCCTTTTTCCAGAGCGACCTCATTGAGCGGGTTGTGTTGCCACATCTTGGCCACATCGAGTCTGACCTTGACCCCGAGGTGAGAAAGGTGACCGTTGAGATGTTGCTGGTGCTTGCGCAGGACTGTAAGACAGGCGAGTTCCAGGACATCATGGCAGTTGTTGAGAAGGTAGGCAAGTGCATGTTGCCATCGCTATCTGTATTCACATATTTACATTGCTATGTGTTACATCTAGTGCCAGAGCACAGAGGGAAATATACAACAGGAAAAATATTCCTGTGCACCAATAAAAGTCAAGATGGCGCATCCACATCACTTATCGATTGGTGAAATAGTTTTAACTTGAAAGAACTATGACAAGATGATGTCAACCATCTCTCATGCCAAACTATTTTCCCAAACATGTACCAACCACTTTGTCTGTGCCACAGCTGTCACAAAGTTGTCCGAGGCGGGCATTGGGGCTGTAGGAATTATGTCTTGTCTGTGGACACATGAATGAGCAATACTTGAAAAGTTTCATAGCCCCATGTTCACTTGTTGCTCAGTGTAGGGCATTTAGCAGCATAACACAGTCAAACACAATGGCCTATGTTGCTCTTCCTCCGCCGATTTGCTGTGCAGAGTTGCATCCCTTGGGCACGCCAGAAACCTATGATTGTGGGTTCTAATCCTGGTTCGCCCCGATTATGTTTCTTGGTTTGTCAGCACCATACCCGTGCTCGTGGGTTTTACCGAAGTGATAAACATCTGAGACCTGCATCACTTCTGGCTTTCCTCCCACATTAAGCTGACATGCCGTGATATGACTGGAATACTGTTTAAAGCGGCGTTAAACCCAACTCACTCACTCACTCCCACTCCGCCATGTTTGTTCCACGGCGATGCCAATCATGCCCCAGGCCATCGATTCACGTCATTTACAGTATCATGTAGGGCAATCGAATCAGTAAGCACACTTTATCATGGCTTGCAGTTGCTGCAGTTTGCTGACATTAGTAGTGGAAACAAATTTGCAACTTATACAACAAATAACAGCCCAACTGACACACTACCCAGTGACACCAAACTTTGGCTATTCTTAGGCGTGTTATTAAGCCCATACATATTTAGAGTCAAGGGAGTAAACATGCAAAAAAAAAAAGCTTAAATGTAAATCTGTCTTATTGCTGCATGAGATGATGAATAATCACACACTGAACAGATAATAAAATGTGACTTAGTTGACCAAAAGCTACCTATTTTAGTGTGTTTATATTATGTTTAAAATATACTTTGTCTCCTTGCTTAAAGGGTACAGGCAATTAGGTGATTGCTTAAATTCCACATCCTTGATAGGGAAATATAATGCCCCATGTGTATGTGTATCCCCTTGGACTCACTGTTTCAACTCCAATAGTTTAGGGGGAAACTTTACGTTATTACACTACACATGGGGGTACAGCAAACTTTGCTGGCTAGTTTTGTTTCCATTTTAAGCGGCAAGAGTGATAAGACAGGTGAGATAAGGCCTGTAGCAGGATTGTCTAAAACACTTCACAGAACTGCTGAAACTCTAGGTTGATATTTGTCCACCTCACAGCATGCATGGGGTTGAGAGAGAATCAAGTGAATAAAACAAATTATCAAAATTAATCTTTTCAGGAGGCTTAAGTAAACACCATGGAACTCAACAACAGCTCAGTTCAGACTAGTATTTTATGTAGCATACTGGTAGCAAGATTTGGGGAGAAAACAACTGGTCTTTCCCTATATTCTCTAGTCCTGGGACTTGTGGCTGTGTCTAACACAGACTCTTAATATGTAAGACACAAAGAGCCAACAACTATGTACAAAGTGTATTATGGCAGGGTGTAAGTAAGTGGTACAGATTACAGAGGCCTGTGTTACGCAATACAGGCCATTACCTGGAAAAGGCAACATGGGTAGTAAAATCAAAACAAACACGTTAACACGTGGTAAACACGTTGCAAGCATTAGCAACAGAACCTTTAACCCGAAGGGGGTGATTTAAAACTTTAGATGTTGTATGAGCAATGCTTCAGCAAGAAAGGACCTACCTACCAAGTACATAACAGGAAATGAAGGTATGTGCATGTAATGCAAAATAGAAATGACTCCATCATATGAACATGAAAAGAGCTAAAGATGCCCCTAGCTGCCCCCTCCCCCCAACCATTGCAGCAATGTCACAGCACCAGAAATGGCCTTCACACATTGTACCCATGCAATTTGCAGGTGATAAAGAAACCCCTGAGCACATTCCCTGCCGGGGGCGAGATGGATGTCAGTCAGCCGGTGGACGAAGCTTTAGTGGTGGATGTGAAAACAGCTGTCTTCAAACTGTGTGATGTCTTCAAGGTAACCAGCTTCACAGTTTTCACTCAGTTCTCTATGGCCACTGTGGTCCAGCAGCTCATCTGGCTGTACAAGTGATATGTGGTGAAAGCAATAAAATTATTATCATTGTCAGTGAGCACAGCTAAACAGGATATATTTGGGTAATCTGTGAGATCAATAAACAAGATTCTGTTTGCCCAATGTTTTCCAGCACCGGTTGTACATAATTCCATCAAACTACTGTGTCAGGATTTACAGTCAGCTCATCAGTCATGTGAACACCCACTATATCCATGGTTATAGCGGATACTCAGCATCCTGTATCAGACAATCGGTAAGTTTATGCAGCTACAACACCCTCACAACAGTACCATGCCATAAGTTAACGGACACTTGGGTGACATCACAAACCCTGCAGCTACAACACTCGCACAACAGTACCATGCCATAAGTTAACGGACACTTGGGTGACATCACAAACCCTGCAGCTACAACACCCGCACAACAGTACCATGCCATAAGTTAACGGACACTTGGGTGACATCACAAACCCTGCAGCTACAACACTCACACAACAGTACCATGCCATAAGTTAACGGACACTTGGGTGACATCACAAACCCTGCAGCTACAACACTCGCACAACAGTACCATGCCATAAGTTAACGGACACTTGGGTGACATCACAAACCCTGAAGCTTCAACACTCGCACAACAGCACCATGCCATAAGTTAACGGACACTTGGGTGACATCACAAACCCTGCAGCTACAACACCCGCACAACAGTACCATGCCATAAGTTAACGGACACTTGGGTGACATCACAAACCCTGCAGCTACAACACCTGCACAACAGTACCATGCCATAAGTTAACAGACACTTGGGTGACATCACAAACCCTGCAGCTACAACACTCGCACAACAGTACCATGCCATAAGTTAACAGACACTTGGGTGACATCACAAACCCTCCAGCTACAACACTCGCGCAACAGTACCATGCCATAAGTTAACGGACACTTGGGTGACATCACAAACCCTGCAGCTACAACACTCGCGCAACAGTACCATGCCATAAGTAAACGGACACTTGGGTGACATCACAAACCCTGCAGCTACAACACCCGCACTACAGTACCATAACACAAATTTTCCTCCAACACTTCTTGATATTTCTGGGCATTTAGGAATGCTAATGTCCCCACAACCTCAAACGTTATGGATCCCCAAAGAATGACACTAAGACTTTTGACTTAGGCATCCTGGGTACCAGTCCTGGGTCCCTTCGCAACACATAGATACAGTTGTCAGTCCCGATTTCTATCTTAGATTCATCACTAAACACTACCTTATCCCAGAATCCAATAATTGGCATTCTCAGTGTAGATCGGCACCATTTTCCTATTGACCTTTTGAATTCTGATGCATTTGCAAACAATCCATCTGCAAACAATCCATCTGTGATAGCCTTCCCGATATCATTCACACTGAACAGTTCTCTTGGAAACAGTAGGTCTGTTTTCATTGAAGTTGTTAGTAATTTATGTAAGCGATGATTGTCTATTGACTTTGGCACGACGGATCAACACACCTCCATCATGGTTGCTCAGAATCCTGGGTCTACCAGTTCGTGGCTGATTTATAAACTTCCTCTCTCGCTAAAGTGATGAATCACACCATGCACTGTGCTCATAGGTAGATCTAGCAGTTGACGTATTTCTCTGCAGGATTTACCATTCAAATGCAGGTCTATGATAACTTCGTTTTTATCCCGCGACAGAATATTCCTTCTCTGAACCATCAGTGGCAGAAATCAGGAGAAACTGAGCAGACGACAACAAAGCACGTAGCACGCAATACTTGATGACGTCATCAATCTGTGGGCAAAGTTTTGCATCATAACATTTCCCGGGTCGAAAGTTAGACATGGTAAACCAAATGCGGTGGTCTCTTGCCAAACTTGCGGCGTCTTAAGTGTCCCTAACTTATAGCATGGTAGTGTATGACCATTGTTACTACACACCCACTGTGTCCATTGTTACTACACACCCACTGTGTCCATTGTAACTACACTCCCACTATGTCCATTGTTACTTCACACCTACTGTGTCTATTGTTACTACACACCCACTGTGTCCATTGTTACTACACACCCACTGTGTCCATTGTTACTACACTTCCACTTTGTCCATTGTTACTACACACCCACTGTGTCCATTGTTACTACACACCCACTATGTCATTGTTACTACACATCCACTATGTCCATTGTTACTTCACACCTACTGTGTCTATTGTTACTACACACCCACTGTGTCCATTGTTACTTCACACCCACTATGTCCATTGTTACTACACACCCACTGTGTCCATTGTTACTTCACACCCACTGTGACCATTGTTACTTCACACCCACTATGTCCATCGTACTTCACGACCACTATGTCCATCGTACTTCACACCCACTATGTCCATTGTTACTTCACACCCACTGTGTCCATTGTTACTTAACACCCACTATGTCCATTGTTACTTCACACCCACTATATCCATGGTTGCTACACACCCACTATGTCCATTGTTACTACACATCCACTATGTCCATTGTTACTTTACACCCACTATGTCCATGGTTACTTCACACCCATTGTGTCCATTGTTACTTCACACCAACTATGTCCATTGTTACTTCACACCCACCATATCCATTGTTACTTCACACCCACTATGTCCATTGTAACTTCACACCCACTATATCCATTGTTACTTTACACCCACTATGTCCATTGTTACTTCACACCCACTGTGACCATTGTTACTTCACACCCACTATGTCCATCGTACTTCACGACCACTATGTCCATCGTACTTCACGACCACTATGTCCATCGTACTTCACACCCACTATGTCCATTGTTACTTCACACCCACTATGTCCATTGTTACTTCACACCCACTATATCCATTGTTACTTCACACCCATTGTGTCCATTGTTACTACACATCCACTATGTCCATTGTTACTTCACACCCACTATATCCATTGTTACTTCACACCCATTGTGTCCATTGTTACTACACATCCACTATGTCCATTGTTACTTTACACCCACTTTGTCCATGGTTACTTCACACCCATTGTGTCCATTGTTACTTCACACCCACTATGTCCATTGTTACTTCACACCCACTGTGACCATTGTTACTTCACACCCACTATGTCCATCGTACTTCACGACCACTATGTCCATTGTACTTCACGACCACTATGTCCATCGTACTTCACACCCACTATGTCCATTGTTACTTCACACCCACTGTGTCCATTGTTACTTAACACCCACTATGTCCATTGTTACTTCACACCCACTATGTCCATTGTTACTTCACACCCACTATATCCATGGTTGCTACACACCCACTATGTCCATTGTTACTACACATCCACTATGTCCATTGTTACTTTACACCCACTATGTCCATGGTTACTTCACACCCATTGTGTCCATTGTTACTTCACACCCACTATGTCCATTGTTACTTCACACCCACCATATCCATTGTTACTTCACACCCACTATGTCCATTGTAACTTCACACCCACTATATCCATTGTTACTTTACACCACTATGTCCATTGTTACTTCACACCCATTGTGTCCATTGTTACTTCACACCCACTATGTCCATTGTTACTTTACGCCCACTATGTCCATTGTTACTTCACACCCACTATGTCCATTGTTTCTTCACACCCACTATATCCATGGTTACTACACTCCCACTATGTCCATTGTTACTTTACGCCCACTATGTCCATTGTTACTTCACACCCACTATGTCCATTGTTTCTTCACACCCACTATATCCATGGTTACTACACTCCCACTATGTCCATTGTTACTACACACCCGCTATGTCCATTGTTACTTCACACCCACTATATCCATGGTTACTACACTCCCACTATGTCCATTGTTACTACACACCCGCTATGTCCATTGTTACTTCACACCCACTGTGTCCATTGTTACTTCACATCCACTATATCCATGGTTACTACACTCCCACTATGTCCATTGTTACTACACACCCGCTATGTCCATTGTTACTTCACACCCACTGTGTCCATTGTTACTTCACACCCACTATATCCATGGTTACTACACTCCCACTATGTCCATTGTTACTTTACGCCCACTATGTCCATTGTTACTTCACACCCACTATGTCCATTGTTTCTTCACACCCACTATATCCATGGTTACTACACTCCCACTATGTCCATTGTTACTACACACCCGCTATGTCCATTGTTACTTCACACCCACTATGTCCATTGTTTCTTCACACCCACTATATCCATGGTTACTACACTCCCACTATGTCCATTGTTACTACACACCCGCTATGTCCATTGTTACTTCACACCCACTATGTCCATTGTTTCTTCACACCCACTATATCCATGGTTACTACACTCCCACTATGTCCATTGTTACTACACACCCGCTATGTCCATTGTTACTTCACACCCACTGTGTCCATTGTTACTTCACATCCACTATGTCCATTGTTACTACACACCTATTTCTGTCTGTTTACTTTACAGGTTATGGAGTTGCTTCTACAACTCAGGTCAGACAGTTTCCACCGCATCGGCTTCACAGAGGTTGGACAAGATGGCCCATTTAGCCCGTATATCACATGTAAACAGAGGTCAGTATTGGTTGTGCTGGATCTTGATGTGATTGAAGGTCTAAAGCATGACATTTAATTGATACTTTCATCAAGACCTGATATAAGGGCAGCCATGATGAATTCAGCAGTAATATTGTCAAACAGTACTTGTTGCTCTTTGCTGCTCTTCAGAAAACTTTGAAATTTGGTTTCCGTCTTTGCAGTTTTGTATATTGTAATATTCTGTTATCTCAGTTGCGGGGTTATAGCATCTTGTTTTCCTCTGAAGTTGATGAGAGTAATGAATTATTTCTTATCCTGACTCAACAAATTTAAAAAATCAGCAATTTTCAACCGATGGAGGACTACTGAGCCAAAATGAACATGCTCAGCAGAGCGTGTGTCAAGTTGATAGTGCCTGACAAATGTACTTGGTTCGCTCCAAAAAGCTTAAAAGGAGATCTCGCTTGGCAGCACTGCTACAAAAGATGAAGAGGTTGCCTGCCCTCTTACCGAATAGCCCTTTATTCCAACTGGAGGGGCAGTGCTCAGCATGGATGAATTTAGCATGGAGTTTCATCGGGAGTGACGTGAGGAGGGAGGCATGCTCCACTCCACTGAATGTCTCCCCGCAACTAGGCAGCACCACCGTCAGAAGCCTTTTTTTTTGATAACCAGGTTTTTGAGCATGAGATTCCAACCCCAGAATCAAACACATCACCGACATCGCCCTGAAGCTTATCGATGTTGATCGACTATCAACAGGCTAGAGTACAGGCAAGAGTCCTCTACAGGGAGGTGGTAATGCCCATGCCTATCAAATATATCGAGGACACAATCATGTGAGAGGATGGTTTGGAAACCAGTTGAAGAAGTGCCGGACTTATTGCCGTCCCGGACCCGGACGAGGGCAAAGCTCTTGAACTGACACTACTTTTTCTGTAATGTGATGTCTAGAAGTAGACTTGTGCGACGACCAGTCATTGTGAACCTTATCCAGGTGCAAGTTGTTGGCACAAATGGATTTTAGTACACCAGTGCGGTACCAAGTGTTTATGTTATATGTGTCAACAGTTACATGACTGTTAGTCCTTATGACATGGTGCTTGTATAACAAGACTCTAGTGGTAGGAGATGTGTTTTAGGGATGAGAGGGAAGAAGAGGCTCCGTCCAGCCCTGTTACAGCTGCTGGTGTGACCCCGAGTCCCTGGTACCAACCACCTGCCATCATACAGTACAGTGAAGCATTCAAGCTCTACATCACCTGTTTACAACATGTATGTTTTTCTTTGGGTTTTATCTCACCTTAACATTATCAGTGGCAGCTTATGGGTCTTCTTCCATTGTCTATTCATCAGTCTGCCCGTTTGTTAGCCCTGAAACATATAACATCTTCTCCTGTCAACTTTATGTTTTGAAAAATTCAATATGGCTGCCACAGAGGTGCTTTCAACAGCCTTCACACCAATCTCTTCTCCTCAGAAACCATTTGACATTTCGTTTTCAAATTTTGACAGGATGTTCAGAACATTCTTCTTCACAATGAAGTAAATGTAATAGTTTTTTTTTTATTTTGAACAATTACCGAATGTTTTTGCACTGAGAGTATTCGTAATCAGTTGAATTTCCACCTTTGTCTTCCACATGCCTTCTGTACTTTTCATGATTTACACACCCTAAAGCAACCCAATATCATTTAAGGTTTGTATAATTGGTTGATTTGAATGTCAAGGTCACTTATGTAATTAGCATGCTTACTCCTTATAACCTCAATAACTGGAGATTTTTGCATACCATGAAGTAAAACTGCTTCACTTAAATACATTAATAATTAAAAAAGTAGGCATGCTTCTGTTCACCCAGCAGTGAATGGGTAGGATGGGATGGTAATGTGCCTGTGAACCTTTTGGCACCTCATACAGCAGTTTGGGTTGTATACTTCTCAGGGAGCTGAGAATGAAATGTGAGTGCACACTCATCCAAAGAACATAGTAGTAATGATGTAGTGCCTAGCCTAACCTGGGTGAAGAGAATTTGGTGCATTATTAATGGACATATCATTGTCATACTCCCTACCTAAAAGGGCGAGTATATACCGGTTATACCAAGGAATTCTGTCTGTCTTCCATGGACATTTTTTTGTGCGACTTATAAATTCAAAACTACTGCATAGATTCTTTTCAAACTTGGTAAACACTTTCTATCCCAATAGGAGTGCTAGGTTTGATTACAATATTTGGATTTTCTGAAAAAATACAGCTATTTTTCATTTTTAACTTAGAATGTTTTTACTTAAACGTTTTTCCTGAATGGATTCCTTTCCAACTTAGTGAACACTTTCCATCCTAATAGAAGAGATGAAGTGCAAAGTTTGATTTTGATGTGTGGATTTTCTGAGAAAATATGAATTGTTTCATGTTTTGAACATTCATGCGACCTATAACTTGAAAACTAGGTAGTGGTTGTCAACATTGGGCCTGTAGGTATTGGTAGTCAACATGTGGCCTGTAGGTAGTGGGGGGCCTGTAGGTAGTGGTAGTCAACATGTGGCCTGTAGGTAGTGGGGGGCCTGTAGGTAGTGGTAGTCAACATGTGGCCTGTAGGGAGTGGTAGTCAACATGCGGCCTGTAGGTAGTGGTAGTCAACATGTGGCCTGTAGGTAGTGGTAGTCAACATGTGGCCTGTAGGTAGTGGGGGGCCTGTAGGTAGTGGTTGTCAACATGTGGCCTGTAGGGAGTGGTTGTCAACATGCGGCCTGTAGGTAGTGGTAGTCAACATGTGGCCTGTAGGTAGTGGTTGTCAACATGTGGCCTGTAGGTAGTGGTAGTCAACATGTGGCCTGTAGGTAGTGGTAGCCAACATGTGGCCTGTAGGTAGTGGGGGGCCTGTAGGTAGTGGTAGTCAACATGTGGCCTGTAGGTAGTGGGGGGCCTGTAGGTAGTGGTTGTCAACATGTGGCCTGTAAGTAGTGGTAGTCAATATGTGGCCATCGGTAGTCAACATGTGGCCTGTAGGTAGTGGTAGTCAACATGTGGCCTGTAGGTAGTGGTAGTCAACATGTGGCCTGTAGGTAGTGGGGGGCCTGTAGGTAGTGGTTGTCAACATGTGGCCTGTAGGTGGTGGTAGTCAACATGTGGCCTGTAGGTAGTGGCAGTCAACATGTGGCCGGAAGGTAGTGGCAGTCAACATGTGGCCTGTAGGTAGTGGTAGTCAACATGTGGCCTGTAGGTAGTGGTAGTCAACATGTGGCCTGTTGGTAGTGGTAGTCAACATGTGGCCTGTAGGTAGTGGGGGGCCTGTAGGTAGTGGTTGTCAACATGTGGCCTGTAGGTGGTGGTAGTCAACATGTGGCCGGAAGGTAGTGGCAGTCAACATGTGGCCGGAAGGTAGTGGCAGTCAACATGTGGCCTGTAGGTAGTGGTAGTCAACATGTGGCCTGTAGGTAGTGGTAGTCAACATGTGGCCTGTTGGTAGTGGTAGTCAACATGTGGCCTGTAGGTAGTGGGGGGCCTGTAGGTAGTGGTTGTCAACATGTGGCCAGTAGGTGGTGGTAGTCAACATGTGGCCGGAAGGTAGTGGCAGTCAACATGTGGCCTGTAGGTAGTGGTAGTCAACATGTGGCCTGTAGGTGGTGGTAGTCAACATGTGGCCTGTAGGTAGTGGCAGTCAACATGTGGCCTGTTGGTAGTGGTAGTCAACATGTGGCCTGTAGGTAGTGGTAGTCAACATGTGGCCTGTAGGTAGTGGTAGTCAACATGTGGCCTGTTGGTAGTGGTAGTCAACATGTGGCCTGTAGGTAGTGGGGGGCCTGTAGGTAGTGGTTGTCAACATGTGGCCAGTAGGTGGTGGTAGTCAACATGTGGCCGGAAGGTAGTGGCAGTCAACATGTGGCCTGTAGGTAGTGGTAGTCAACATGTGGCCTGTAGGTGGTGGTAGTCAACATGTGGCCTGTAGGTAGTGGCAGTCAACATGTGGCCTGTAGGTAGTGGCAGTCAACATTTGGCCTGTAGGTAGGGGGGGGGGGGGGCTGTAGGTAGTTGTAGAGTCAACATGTGGCCTGTAAACATGCTGGATTGAACAAATGTTTAAGAGTTTTTTGTACACATGAGTTGTATTGAGTTTGAGGACACATGATAAACTGTTCATACTTGAGAAGTATTTATCTGTACACACTGGTTATTTTTACCCATGTCTGCGATAGTTCCATGTCAGCATGGGCACCAAACAGGGTTTCTTAAGTCTGTTATTTCAATATTTCTAGGAGTTTGACTGGCATGTACTGAAGTGTGTCTTGGAACATCTCCCTTTAGTCCTGCAGAATAAGACCCTGATTCTCACCACCACAGACAACATGGTGGCGACTCTCTGTCATCGTCTTTGTGCCATGGTAAGTAAGTCCCCGATCCCACCACCACAGACAACTTGGTGGCTACATTCTGTCATCTCTGTCCTGGTAGAACGCCATCCCAACACCAAAGACAACGTGATGGCCATGTTCCGTCATCATGTATCTCATGGTAGACCCCCAATCAAACCACCACAGACAACGTGGTGGCCATGTTCCATCATCATCTCTCTCATGGTAGACCCCCCATCCAACAACCACAGACAACGTGGTGGCCATGTTCCATCATCATCTCTCTCATGGTAGACCCCCCATCCCTCTACCACAGACAACATGGTCTCCATGTTCCGTCATCATCTCTGTCATGGTAGACCCCTCACCCCTCTACCACAGATAACATGGTGGCCATGTTCTGTCATCATCACACTCATGGTAAACCCCTCACACCTCTTCCACAGACAACATGGTGGCAATGTTCCGTCATCATCTCTCCGGGTAGACCCCCAATCCCTCTACCACAGACAACACGTTAGCCATGTTCCATCATCATCTCTGTCCTGGTAGACCCCCCAACCCTCTACCACAGACAACATGATGGCCATGTTCCGTCATCATCTCTCTCATGGTAGACCCCCCATCCCTCTACCACAGACAACATAGTAGCCATGTTCCGTGATCATCTCTGTCATGGTAGACCCCCATCCCTCTACCACAGACAACATGGTGGCCATGTTCCGTCATCATCTCTGTCCTGGTAGACCCCCAATCCCTCAACCACAGACAACATGGTGGCCATGTTCCGTCATCATCTCTCTCAAGGTAAACCCCCATCCCTCAACCACAGACAACGTGGTGGCCATGTTTGGTCATCATCTCTGTCCTGGTAGACCCCCCACCCCTCTACCACAGACTACGGGGTAGGCATGTTCTGTCATCATCTCCTTCATAGTAGACCCCCCATCTCTCTACCACAGACAACATGGTGGCCATGTTCCGTCATCATCTCTCCGGGTACACCCCCCATCCCTCAACCACAGACAACATGGTGGCCATGTTCTGTCATCATCTCACTCATGGTAGACCCCCCATCCAACCACCACAGACAATGTGGTGGCCATGTTCCGTCATCACCTCTGTCCTGGTAGACCCCCATCCCACCACCACAGACAACGTGGTGGCCATGTTATGTCATCATCTATCTCATGGTAGACCCCCCATCCCTCTGCCACAGGCAATATGGTGGCCATGTTCCGTCATCATCTCTGTCCTGGTAGACCCCCCATCCCTCTACCACAGACAACATGGTGTCCATGTTCCGTCAACATCTATGTCATGGTAGACCCCCCATCCCTCTACCACAGACAACATAGTAGCCATGTTCCGTCATCATCTCTGTCATGGTAGACCCCCCATCCCTCTACCACAGACAACATAGTGGCCATGTTCCGTCATCATCTCTGTCCTGGTAGACCTCCTATCCCTCAACCACAGACAACATGGTGGCCATGTTCCGTCATCTTCTCTCTCAAGGTAAACCCCCATCCCTCAACCACAGACAACGTGGTGGCCATGTTCCGTCATCATCTCTGTCCTGGTAGACCCCCCACCCCTCTACCACAGACTACGGGGTAGGCATGTTCTGTCATCATCTCACTCATGGTAGACCCCCCATCTCTCTACCACAGACAACATGGTGGCCATGTTCCGTCATCATCTCTCCGGGTAGACCCCCCATCCCTCAACCACAGACAACATGGTGGGCATGTTCTGTCATCATCTCACTCATGGTAGACCCCCCATCCAACGACCACAGACAACGTGGTGGCCATGTTCCATCATCATCTCTCTCATGGTAGACCCCCCATCCCTCTACCACAGACAACATGGTGTCCATGTTCCGTCATCATCTCTGTCATGGTAGACCCCCCACCCCTCTACCACAGATAACATGGTGGCCATGTTCTGTCATCATCTCACTCATGGTAAACCCCTCACACCTCTTCCACAGACAACATGGTGGCAATGTTCCGTCATCATCTCTCCGGGTAGACCCCCAATCCCTCTACCACAGACAACACGTTAGCCATGTTCCATCAAAATCTCTGTCATGGTAGACCCCCCACCCCTCTACCACAGACAACATGGTGGCCATGTTCCATCATCATCTCTCTCATGGTAGACCCCCCATCCCTCTACCACAGACAACATGGTCTCCATGTTCCGTCATCATCTCTGTCATGGTAGACCCCCCACCCCTCTACCACAGATAACATGGTGGCCATGTTCTGTCATCATCTCACTCATGGTAAACCCCTCACACCTCTTCCACAGACAACATGGTGGCAATGTTCCGTCATCATCTCTCCGGGTAGACCCCCAATCCCTCTACCACAGACAACACGTTAGCCATGTTCCATCATCATCTCTGTCCTGGTAGAACCCCCACCCCTCTACCACAGACAACATGATGGCCATGTTCCGTCATCATCTCTCTCATGGTAGACCCCCCATCCCTCTACCACAGACAACATAGTAGCCATGTTCCGTCATCATCTCTGTCATGGTAGACCCCCCATCCCTCTACCAGACCGCCTCCGTGGTCTTGTGGTAGAGCGTCCGCCCGGAGAGCGGAAGGTCCAGGGTTCGATCCCGGGCCGCGTCATACAAAAAGACGTTAAAAGATTGTACTTGTTGTTACCCTGTCTGGCGCTCGGCATTAAGGGGCTAAAACAAGGACTGGTCGGCTCGGAGTCAGTATACTGTGTCTGAGTGGGGTATTCATGTTAAACTGCGGCATGGTATCTCAGTGAGCTAGCACTATAAATCGGCATCAGTCCGGACTAGTACAAGCAGCCACACACACACATACATGTGCATGCACGTCGCTATATAAGTGCAATAATCTTGGACGCGACGTTAAACCCAATTTCACCTCACCTCACCCATCCCTCTACCACAGACAACATGGTGGCCATGTTCCGTCATCATCTCTGTCCTGGTAGACCCCCTATCCCTCAACCACAGACAACATGGTGGCCATGTTCCGTCATCATCTCTCTCAAGGTAAACCCCCATCCCTCAACCACAGACAACGTGGTGGCCATGTTCCGTCATCATCTCTGTCCTGGTAGACCCCCCTCCCTTCTACCACAGACTACGGGGTAGGCATGTTCTGTCATCATCTCACTCATGGTAGACCCCCCATCTCTCTACCACAGACAACATGGTGGCCATGTTCCGTCATCATCTCTCCGGGTAGACCCCCCATCCCTCAACCACAGACAACATGGTGTCCATGTTCCGTCATCATCTCTGTCATGGTAGACCCCCCACCCCTCTACCACAGGTAACATGCTGGCCATGTTCTGTCATCATCTCACACATGGTAAACCCCTCACACCTCTTCCACAGACAACATGGTGGCAATGTTCCGTCATCATCTCTCCGGGTAGACCCCCAATCCCTCTACCACAGACAACACGTTAGCCATGTTCCATCATCATCTCTGTCCTGGTAGACCCCCCATCCCTCTACCACAGACAACATGATGGCCATGTTCCGTCATCATCTCTCTCATGGTAGACCCCCCATCCCTCTACCACAGACAACATAGTAGCCATGTTCCGTCATCATCTCTGTCATGGTAGACCCCCCATCCCTCTACCACAGACAACATGGTGGCCATGTTCCGTCATCATCTCTGTCATGGTAGACCCCCCATCCCTATACCACAGACAACATGGTGGCCATGTTCCGTCATCATCTCTGTCCTGGTAGACCCCCTATCCCTCAACCACAGACAACATGGTGGCCATGTTCCGTCATCATCTATCTCAAGGTAAACCCCCATCCCTCAACCACAGACAACGTGGTGGCCATGTTCCGTCATCATCTCTGTCCTGGTAGACCCCCCACCCCTCTACCACAGACTACGGGGTAGGCATGTTCTGTCATCATCTCACTCATGGTAGACCCCCCATCTCTCTACCACAGACAACATGGTAGCCATGTTCCGTCATCATCTCTCTCAAGGTAAACCCCCATCCCTCAACCACAGACAACGTGGTGGCCATGTTCTGTCATCACCTCTGTCCTGGTAGACCCCCCATCCCTCTACCACAGACAACACGTTAGCCATGTTCCATCATCATCTCTCTCATGGTAGACCCCCCACCCCTCTACCACAGACTACGGGGTAGCCATGTTCTGTCATCATCTCACTCATGGTAGAACCCCCATCCCTCTACCACAGACAACATGGTGGCCATGTTCCGTCATCATCTCTCCTGGTAGACCCCCCATCCCTCAACCACAGACAACATGGTGGCCATGTTCTGTCATCATCTCACTCATGGTATACCCCTCACACCTCTTCCACAGACAATATGGTGGCCATGTTCCGTCATCATCTCTGTCCTGGTAGACCCCCCCACACCTCTACCACAGACAACATGGTAGCCATGTTCCGTCATCATCTCTCTCATTGTAGACCCCCCATCCCTCTGCCACAGACAATATGGTGGCCATGTTCCGTCATCATCTCTGTCCTGGTAGACCCCCCATCCCACCACCACAGACAACGTGGTGGCCATGTTCTGTCATTATCTCTCTCATGGTAGACCCCCATCCCTCAACCACAGACAACTTGGTGGCCATGTTATGTCATCATCTATCTCATGGTAGACCCCCCATCCCTCTGCCACAGACAATATGGTGGCCATGTTCCATCATCATCTCTGTCCTGGTCCCTCAACCACAGACAACTTGGTTGCTACATTCTGTCACCACTGTCCTGGTAGAACCCCATCCCTCTACCACAGACAACATGCTGGCCATGTTTTTTCATCTCTCTCATGGTAGACCACCATCCCTCTACTACAGACAATGTGGTTGCAATGTTCCGTCATCATCTCTCTCATGGTAGACCACCATCCCTCTACCACACACATCTTTTGTTGTTATCTTGATTCTAAATGGAGTGTTATGAGCAATACCAACTTTTTTGTTGGCAGGTAAATGACAGGTCTTTGGGATTTCTTGAGAAACTACAGAGGTTACCATCCAAATTGACACGATCGGACTTCCATTCCTATGTGTTTCCTGTGCTGGCTACCATGGTCACCTACCATGATTACCTGGACAGAAATGGACAGGTAGGTCACAGACTGTCATCTCTTCAATAACTATTGCGTAAGGTTGTAATCTCTTTGTAAACCCTTTTCTTTTGATACTATTTATAATGTTTTAGTAAGGTGTATGGACTTGACTGGTGCCATTAATCTGTCAGGTGTCTTGTCATAAGTGTGTATCAGTGGAAAAGCAACCTAAATGCTTGTCTTGTTGAATATGCTGCAGAAAGAGCTGCTGAAGTGCCTGGAGTTTGGCCTGGTGTCCAAGTGTGCCAAGACGTGTGTGAGTGCTCTGCGTATTTCGGCCCTGGAGATGCAGGAGGTTATGATGAGGTTGCTGCCCTCTGTGTTGCTGTCTCTCTCCAAGATCTCGGCCACAATGTCCATGGCCATTCCTGTCCTAGCTTTTCTATCAAGTAAGCCATATGTTTTCATTATCTTCAGTACTAGAACATGTTAAAGTCGGGAATTGTTTTCATTCCACCAACTGTCGTGGTAGAATTGTGTAACTGGTATTTCTTCATCAGGATGTCTAGCAACATTGTGTAACTGGTATTGGTTCATGAGGATGTCTAACAACATTGTGTAACTAGTTTTGGTTCAAGGGGATGTCTAGCAACATTGTGTAACTAGTATTGGTTCATGGGATGTCTAGAAACATTGTGTAACTGGTATTTTTTCATTGGGATGACTTACAACATTGTGGAACTAGTATTGGTTCATGGGGGTGTCAAGCAACATTGTGAAACTGGTGTTTCTTCATGGGGATGTCTAGCAACAGTGTGTGGCTGGTATGTCTTCATGGGGATGCCTAGCAACATTGGGGAACTAGTATTGGTTCATGGGGATGTCTAGCAACAATGTGTGGCTGGTATTTCTTCATGGGGATGTCTAGCAACATTGTGGAACTAGTATTTCTTCATGGGGATGTCTAGCAACATTGTGGAACTAGTATTGGTTCGTGGGGATGTCTAGAAACATTGTGGAACTGGTATTTCTTCATGGGGATGTCTAGCAACATTGTGGAACTAGTATTGGTTCATGGGGATGTCTAGCAACATTGTGGAACTAGTATTGGTTCAAGGGGATGTCTAGCAACATTGTGTAACTGGTATTTCTTCATTGGGATGTCTAGCCACAATGTGTGCCTAGTATTTGTTGATGGGGATGTCAAGCAAAATTGTGGAACTTGTAATTTCTTCATGGGGATGTCTAACAACATTGTGGAACTGGTATCTTTTCATGGGGATGTCTAGCAACATTGTGGAACTAGTATTGGTTCATGGGGATGTCAAGCAACATTGTGGAACTGGTATTCCTTTATGGGGATGTCTAGCAACTTTGTGGAACTGGTATGTTTTCATAACATTACTATATTTTCTCAATGCGAAAATTGTTAGAAATCTCATTTTGACAGATCTTTAAGAATTTTCTTATTAGAAACCACAAGGTTCAGAGAGATGAAACTGTAGGATGTAGGACTATAAACTATTGGACTATGTGGAAAGTATTTAAATATCATTATCTTGACAACCAAAAGGCTGAAGGAGCTGATATGCTGTTAGGATACCTAGAGCTACAGCAGGTTTCAGATGTAATCAGGGCATTTAGATGAAACTTTCTTTTCTCATCAAAAACAGAAATCTGACATCAGTGCTTGAGCAGAAACTTTGAGTAAATGATGATTACAGGTATAAGTTTCTTTTAATATCATCAACACTCAATTCATTCCCTTTGTAAGTGTGCAAAAATAAACTATTGCACATATCAATAACTGCCATAATTCCTACGAATATCTTACCTCTATTACATCATAGCCATAAAATCCCATTTTGGCAATAATCACACTATAAAATCCTTAGATTTTTCAACAGACATCTTCTTCACTGGCAATTATCCCACAGTTTTGAGGTAAACCCAATCCCTTGTCAAACTGCATCTGCGCATGCGCAAGGCAAAAAACATCACTTCTTTCCCGTGTGTGTTGGATCAACAAGCAAAAGTTTTTGCTCATCAATCCAAACATGTTTTCGGATAATAATTCACAGCTTGTATAGATCTAAAAGATTACAACAGTCAACCTACGATCATCATTGGATGTAGCAGACAATCTACGATCGTCAAGTTTTTGCAGCAGACGAACGTCGTCAGTCAAGCTTGCTGGAACGGTGGTATCGCAGCTGAGAGATAACCATACACCACGTGATGCCGTTTCACCCCGGTGGCAAGAGCCTGGGGGTTACGGCCGAGAGGGTTTTACAGGCGCTTCTCATGATTGTACGTGTGCTTCTCATGACGTTGCTGATAGTACACTCACGTTTAAACCAAATGACTACTCATTTAAAGATATTATCTATGAAATTCATCAATTGATCCCATCTGTAAAGCCTCCAAGCAATGAGGCAGAGGATCCGTTGCTTATTGAAAGAGCTGGTTATGAAAATCCTGTAGAAAAGAGGGAAGGTTTTCTTACTTTTCCATATCCATCATTCACTGAAAATGTGGTCACAAAAATGAATGCAGGTTTAAATGCCTCTACCAGTAGAGCTTTTAGCATTCCTTATCCTCTTCAAGGGAGACAATTGATGATGAATATTTTAATCTGGTCAGACACCCAAATACCAAAATGAATGTTGAGATGAACAAATTCAAAGAATTTGACAGTGTTAACAAACAGATGATAAATATATGAACTGGTTTGCAGCAGGCATCAGACATGTACTTCTCCCTGTTAACTGTGAGGAATTTATTGGCCAACCTTGTGACACAAAAGTTGAGATGAATTTGGAACAAGTTGGTTTCATTCATAGTGGACCCGTGAAGATTCCGGGGTAGAATAGGTCTTCAGCAACCCATGCTTGGTGACTATGCTTGTCGTAAAAGGCGACTAACGGGATTGGGTGGTCAGGCTCGCTGACTTGGTTGATGCATGTCATCGATCCCAATTGCGTGGGTCAATGGTCATGATATTAATCACTGAATTGTCTGGTCCAGACTCGATTATTTACAGACCGCCCTCATATAGCTGGAATATTGTTGAGTGCGGCGTTAAACAACAAACCAACCAACCAAATCATTCATAGTGCGCTGGATAACATACTGAAGATCTGCATACTGCACAGGTATGGATGTCCACACAGTTCCTGCTTACTCAACGAAATCATCTTTTTCAACAGGTTAGACACAATATCTCAGATCCACTAAGATGAAGTTTGATGTCTCAGTCAATATTGGCGCCCCAGTTCTTCAATGGCAGACTAACCTCTGTAATTGATGAGATTTCACGCACCACTAATCAGAGATTCCAAAACTCCACTATCTCATTGGCATCTAAGCTTAATGAAAAGCGTTTGTCCGACATGTTATGTCAGGACGTGAGTCTTCTCGTGCCTCCACTTGGAAAAGCTCATCCCGTTCCAGACCAAGCCGAGGGAGACATGAGTCCCAAAGAAGCAGAGGTCGTGGTCAATCCTATACCAGAGGAAGAGGTAACCGCTGTTCGTGACTCTCTACATCCAAGAATCTCTCAGCCAAACCCTGTCGACCTTGCTATGTTAATGGACCTCGATTACTGGTTACCCAAGTTCATCTTCGCCTACCGCGGGACCAGTCGGCGGTCGTCTGTCATTATACGCCGAAAATTGGAAGTCAATTACGGACGACCCTTGGCTAATCGAAGTGGTAAAAAGAGGGTACAAACTCCATTTCCAACAGCGTCCGGAGCTTGTAGTCCACCCCAAAGGATGACGTTTTCATCTAGTAGGGGCCAAGTTAGCAGTCGCAACTTTGTCTATACGAGAACTACTAGACAAATCAGCATCTTACAAAAGTCAGACACTACAAAGGGGTTTTACTATCCATTTTTTGTGGTCCCCAAAAAGAACTCTACAAAGATGCACATGATAATAGACCTAAAGGTACTCAACAGAGACTACCTAGTACGTCCACCGAAGTTTTAAATGGAATCAGTAAAAAAGTTACACAATTCCCTCAAACTATGAGATTGGCTGGTCAGTCTGGACCTACAGGATGCCCACCTGCATGTGCCTATTCACCTGAGTCGTCGACCCTACCTACGCTTTGCAGTAAACGGTCTAAGGTTCGCATTCAACATGCTTCCATTCGGAATATCAATAGCGCCATGGCTTTTTACACGGATTATCATCCCCATCATCTACTTCGCTCATCAAAATCTTGTAAGACTCCACGGCTATAAAGACGATTCCCTCTCAGCCGATCAAGAATTATTGCAGATAAAGCAGAACGCAATATTTCTGATTCAACTTTTATCTCACTTGGGTTTCCTGGTACATCCCGTCAAGTCGGAATTAATACCAACTCAAGACATCATGTACATAGGGGCGAGGTTTCAACTTTCAAAAGGCATTTTACAACCTCCAGAGGATAGATATCTAAGAGCTATAGAGAAGATTCAGATTGCTCGCGACCAACCCAGCAGGTCACGTCGTTGGTGGATGTCTTGCCTAGGCACACTGACATCACTCCAAGATCTTACTTACAGACCTCAGTTACGTCCACTACAAGCGTGGATGAACACCACCAAAAATATGGATCTGGAAGACACAATACAACCTCCTCACAGCCAACTATCAGAAGTACGATGGTGGTTTCGGCGTCCAAACGTCATGTCAGGCATCCCTCTCATGTTCCCCCCACCTTTACACCATCTATATACAGACGCATCAGGCGAAGTTTGGGGTGCACATTTGGACAACGTCGCAATCCGAGGAATGTGGTCAAATCAAGACAAAAAATTACACACACCGTATTCGACCCAATAAGCGCACAGGGCGCTTAAAATAAAGACAGAAGGGGTGGGCACATATTGGGACCAATTCAGAGTCAAATTGGCGTAAATTCATCAGTAAGCCTATCGATATTCTTCTGTTGCTGGGGGGCTGGAGATAAACTGTTACTTACGTTTTACTGGTGAACATCTCCTCATTAACCGACTACAAAAGATTCTTGACCGTATGTAAAAAACAGGTGCGTAAATCTTACTTGGGCATCCGGGAAAAGGGGGGGGGGGGGGGGCGCGCTTATTGGGACATGGGCGCTTATTGGGTCGAATACGGTAAATTGTCTGGAAGTGAGAGCTATTGTCTAAGTGAAGGCATGGGCCCATCTACAACACCACTCGTCGGTACTGATAGCTCAAACAACACCACAGTGGTAGCATACATACAACATCAAGGGGGCACAAGATTAGCACTTTTGTTGAGGGAGGGTACGCTTTTATTTGCCTTGGCAGACTCAGTAATTTGCAGGATAGAACATACTGAATATACTTGCAGACTGCCTATCCCGGAGAAACAAGATTGTACCCACGGAATGGACTCTCCACCCCGAGGTTTTCAAGTGGATAACCTCGACGTGGGATACCTCTCACCAGGACTTGTTTACCACATGTCTAAACCATCGACTTCCCGTTTACGTCAGCCCAGTCCCAGATCCATTAGCCCTCCAGGTCGACGCCCTATCCATGAGTTGGCAAGGGATGTTCGCCTACGCTTTCCCTCCTTGGTCTCTCTTGGACACAGTAATAAGGAAGATCGAGGACACACATAGGCGCGGCATTGTTGACCAAGGAGTAGTAGGTCCAAGAATCGGCCACAGTTTTATACCCACTACAGTTCGTGACAGTTCGTGCATTTTCGATTACCCACATATTCAGATCCCAGAAAGTACAAAAAATAAGGTAAGTTAGCCTTTACACTATGTCATCTAGGTTGGACGGATCATTGGCTAACATCTGGGATCATAGATCATAAGGTGATAGGGTTATTACATTGTTAGTCGCTTGGCGTAACATGTATAACTACCGGAGGTGTCGTCGTGGAAGACTTCAGAACCGGAATCACGTAAAAGTATGTCAATATCATACCTGAGGTGAGATAAGTATAAATGCTGGTGGCTATAGAGCAACAAGTATATATCTACGTCACAATGAAAGATTAACCGGAAGTGACGTTATAGATGACCTCAGAACTGGAAGTGACGTAATAATGACCCAAATGATGTCACAAGAAATTGAACCAATAGTGTCATCATAGATGTCCTCAGAACCGAAAGTGACGTCAGAAAGGTCATCAAAACCAGAGGGAAACATAAAAAATGAGGTCATATATCACTAAAAACAGGTAACAGTTATGAGGTCAGTTAAAACGGGAAGGACGCCACAGGTGCCAAGTCTTCTTCAGGTTTGCCAAGGGTGAAATCAGGAAGTCTGGCATTGGTTCATACCCTGTTGCGCCTCTGTTTCCCTTACTTCACTGCTGCCAATTATCCGGGAGTACTAGATGACAGATCCCACCTGTCCCTCTGGTACATACTGGCTATGATGTAATAGAGGTAGGATAATCGTAGGAATTATCAAACAATGGTTGTCATTGTGTATAATTCTAAGAATACTACCTCTATTACACCAGGAAGTAGTCCCTCCCACCTCCCCAATATATCTTACATCTAGTTGATGAAGGTTATTGGAAAGAAGTGATATTTTCCCGCCTTGCGCATGCACTGATGCAGTTTGACAAGGGATTGGGTTTCAAAACTGTGGGATAATTGCCAGTGAAGAGGACGTCTGTTGAACAATCTAAAGATTTTATAGTGTGATTATTGCCAAAATGGGAATTTATGTCTATGATGTAATAGAGGTAGTATTCTTAGAATATTACACAGTGATAACTATTTTTTGATATTAGATGTCAGGATACTTGTTTGTTGCCATAATAGTAAGGTTTAGTATTGCATGAGGCCATACCATCCTCTCATCACCAGTCAAAAGTGCATACTACACAACCAGTTCACAGCAGTGCGTTCTTTGCTTGATATCTAATAATCTAAAGATACAGCTAACTTTTAATGGAGCAACAGAACAGCACCTTGATATCCTTTTTGTTTTGTCAACATATTTTATTGAGTAGAATGGAAGAAGTATTTTATCACATGGATGTTTCAGGCATTGTCAGGCTGCCCAATCTTTATGCGAACTTTGTAGAAGACCAGTACATGAGTGTGTTTGCTATTGCTCTCCCCTACACAAACCCATTCAAGTAAGTATCATGTTGCCAGTATACATCAGTAGTTTGCTGTGAATCCAGAACGTCGCATGATTAATGAGATATTTAAAGAGTGACTACACTTGGCAGTAATGTTGGATGATTCCACTTGTACAGCACCTTTTGCTTAATCTGCTACTGGGGTAACTTGTGTTGTATGATGTATATACTAGTCCAGCTGTTTGCGATAAGTCTAGACATAATCTTAAAATTGTTGGCATTAAGCTTAGTTCCTCTATATGAAAGGTGTGGGACAGGTTCCAATTTTAGGTCCTGAAGACTTAATATTGAAACTAATGTAAAGAAGCCACATGGAGGAAAAAACACTTTTTTTGTCAGTACAGAAAAAAAAATATAAACTGCTGGCTCGTGGGCAGGACACACACTTGTAGACACTGTTACTTTACTATGTCAGTTCAACTATAGTAGGGCTGGGTGGCTGGATGTCAGTTTAACTATAGTAGGGCTGGGTGGCTGGATGTCAGTTTAACTATTGTAGGGCTGGGTGGCTGGATGTCAGTTTAACTATAGTAGGGCTGGGTGGCTGGATATCAGTTTAACTGTTGTAGGGCTGGGTGGCTGGATGTCAGTTTAACTATTGTAGGGCTGGGTGGCTGGATGTCAGTTTAACTATAGTAGGGCTGGGTGGCTGGATATCAGTTTAACTGTTGTAGGGCTGGGTGGCTGGATATCAGTTTAACTATAGTAAGGTGGGTGGCTGGATGTCAGTTTAACTGTAGTAGGGCTGGGTGGCTGGATATCAGTTTAACTATTGTAGGGCTGGGTGGCTGGATGTCAGTTTAACTATTGTAGGGCTGGGTGGCTGGATGTCAGTTTAACTATAGTAGGCCTGGGTGGCTGGATATCAGTTTAACTATAGTAGGGCTGGGTGGCTGGATGTCAGTTTAACTATAGTAGGGCTGGGTGGCTGGATATCAGTTTAACTATAGTAGGCCTGGGTGGCTGGATATCAGTTTAACTGTTGTAGGGCTGGGTGGCTGGATGTCAGTTTAACTATTGTAGGGCTGGGTGGCTGGATGTCAGTTGAACTATTGTAGGGCTGGGTGGCTGGATGTCAGTTTAACTATAGTAGGGCTGGGTGGCTGGATGTCAGTTTAACTATAGTAGGGCTGGGTGGCTGGATATCAGTTTAACTGTTGTAGGGCTGGGTGGCTGGATGTCAGTTTAACTATAGTAAGGTGGGTGGCTGGATGTCAGTTTAACTATAGTAGGCCTGGGTGGCTGGATATCAGTTTAACTGTTGTAGGGCTGGGTGGCTGGATGTCAGTTTAACTATAGTAGGCCTGGGTGGCTGGATGTCAGTTTAACTATAGTAGGGCCTGGTGGCTGGATATCAGTTTAACTATAGTAGGCCTGGGTGGCTGGATATCAGTTTAACTATAGTAGGGCTGGGTGGCTGGATGTCAGTTTAACTATAGTAGGCCTGGGTGGCTGGATGTCAGTTTAACTATTGTAGGGCTGGGTGGTTGGATATCAGTTTAACTATAGTAGGCCTGGGTGGCTGGATATCAGTTTAACTGTTGTAGGGCTGGGTGGCTGGATGTCAGTTTAACTATTGTAGGGCTGGGTGGCTGGATGTCAGTTGAACTATTGTAGGGCTGGGTGGCTGGATGTCAGTTTAACTATAGTAGGCCTGGGTGGCTGGATGTCAGTTTAACTATAGTAGGCCTGGGTGGCTGGATGTCAGTTTAACTGTTGTAGGGCTGGGTGGCTGGATATCAGTTTAACTATAGTAGGCCTGGGTGGCTGGATGTCAGTTTAACTATAGTAGGGCTGGGTGGCTGGATGTCAGTTTAACTATAGTAGGCCTGGGTGGTTGGATGTCAGTTTAACTATGTTAGGGCTGGGTGGCTGGATATCAGTTTAACTATTGTAGGGCTGGGTGGCTGGATGTCAATTTAACTATAGTAGGGCTGGGTGGCTTGATGTCAGTTTAACTATAGTAGGGTTGGGTGGCTGGATGTCAGTTTAACTATGTTAGGGCTGGGTGGCTGGATATCAGTTTAACTATTGTAGGGCTGGGTGGCTGGATGTCAGTTTAACTATAGTAAGGCTGGGTGGCTGGATGTCAGTTTAACTATAGTAGGGCTGGGTGGCTGGATGTCATTTTAACTATAGTAGGGTGGGTGGCTGGATGTCAGTTTAACTATAGTAGGGCTGGGTGGCTGGATATCAGTTTAACTATTGTAGGGCTGGGTGGCTGGATGTCAGTTTAACTATAGTAAGGCTGGGTGGCTGGATGTCAGTTTAACAATAGTAGGCCTGGGTGGCTGGATATCAGTTTAACTATAGTAGGGCTGGGTGGCTGGATGTCAGTTTAACTATAGTAGGCCTGGGTGGCTGGATGTCAGTTTAACTATTGTAGGGCTGGGTGGCTGGATATCAGTTTAACTATAGTAGGCCTGGGTGGCTGGATGTCAGTTTAACTATAGTAGGCCTGGGTGGCTGGGTGTCAGTTTAACTGTTGTAGGGCTGGGTGGCTGGATATCAGTTTAACTATAGTAGGCCTGGGTGGCTGGATGTCAGTTTAACTATAGTAGGGCTGGGTGGCTGGATGTCAGTTTAACTATAGTAGGCCTGGGTGGTTGGATGTCAGTTTAACTATGTTAGGGCTGGGTGGCTGGATATCAGTTTAACTATTGTAGGGCTGGGTGGCTGGATGTCAATTTAACTATAGTAGGGCTGGGTGGCTTGATGTCAGTTTAACTATAGTAGGGTTGGGTGGCTGGATGTCAGTTTAACTATGTTAGGGCTGGGTGGCTGGATATCAGTTTAACTATTGTAGGGCTGGGTGGCTGGATGTCAGTTTAACTATAGTAAGGCTGGGTGGCTGGATGTCAGTTTAACTATAGTAGGGCTGGGTGGCTGGATGTCATTTTAACTATAGTAGGGTGGGTGGCTGGATGTCAGTTTAACTATAGTAGGGCTGGGTGGCTGGATATCAGTTTAACTATTGTAGGGTTGGGTGGCTGGATGTCAGTTTAACTATAGTAAGGCTGGGTGGCTGGATGTCAGTTTAACTATAGTAGGGCTGGGTGGCTGGATATCAGTTTAACTATTGTAGGGCTGGGTGGCTGGATGTCAGTTTAACTATAGTAGGGCTGGGTGGCTGGATATCAGTTTAACTATTGTAGGGCTGGGTGGCTGGATGTCAGTTTAACTATAGTAGGGCTGGGTGGCTGGATATCAGTTTAACTACAGGAAACAACAGTGCATCAGTGAACATAATCAGTTAGATGAATTCATGATATTGTTGAAATCCTTGTGCAACACATATACCTATCCAGTGACGGTATGAAAGTGATCATCTATCCAGTTTGCTTTTGTGCCAGTTTGAAAACTAACCAAGTGATCTTTGTAATGTGCAATTTCACTGCACTGCACACTCCACTTTGCACAGATTCAATAAATATATCACTGAAGGTTCTTTGAATTCAGGAGTCTGGATTGGCGGTGCGACTCAGCACTGAATAATGAGTAATGTCAAAAAAAGTACAAATTAAAGATCTCAGCAAGTATTTCGCATAAAGAAATTTGAAACCAGGAGTCTTAACTTTACTGCGCGACTCAAACAGTACTTTGGGGTACTTTTGCCCTTTTAAGTACAATGGGTGCTCTTCCCGTGTCTTTGCCAGATTGCCCAAGAAAAAAAATAATCCTTAATTCCGACATCAAAACTCTGAAATGCTGAAAACTGCTTTGCTGTTAATTACTTAATACTGACATACAATATACAAATGTGAGGGGGTGGCTTACCTAAGAATATCCCTAATCTGAATTCAAAGTCCAATACATTCAATTTTGTACCAAACTGTGAACCTTTATAACTTGTAACAAATGACAAATTTTGTCATTTAGATTTTTGAAATTACGAGTCTAGCTTTAAGGTGTGACTCAATAACTCCTTACTGTATCTATATCTCTGGCGTGGCCTGGAGACATTTCAAAGATTCCCTACACAATAACTTGAAAGATCTAGCTTGACTAAAGACGCAATTTCGACATTTCGGCATTAATATACTGGCTTTGATCAAACATTCCTGCTTGCACTTATCAACAGTCACACAATATATATCCTGGACTGAGGCCCATGTAAGTAAACAAAAATCAGTAAGTCCCAATGAGATATCTTGTACACAGTGTCCATCTTGTAGGTGCCCGTATTGTGCAGGGTCTGCATAATGATGGCTGTGGTCGGATCCCTGTGGGATAGGCGTGTATACTTCTTTTCTTTGGTCCTGTGTATGAACAAAATCCAGCATAATCATATGCAACCAACCGTGTCGGATTGACGGGACTTGACTGTACATGTCATGGCTACAGGGTAATTAGACTTTGGAATCAAGTGTTCTTCACACAATGGTTGTCCCAAATCAGTCGCTATGACAGTCCTTTCAGTTCAGGTAAACATAGTTATCCTTTCATTTCTTTTGACTTAGAGTGAAATGATACACCAATGCACTACAATATGTGGCCTTTGACATGAAACACAAGACACAGCTTGATCATGATGCATGACAATACATAATGCATATTTTTAATAGCCTTCTAAATGAAAGAATAACAAAATAAGAATAGACATGGTCTTATAAAGCCAATGGTGTCCTACAAATCATCTGTTTGGGGTCATTTTGGCTTCCTGTTAATTTTTGTGATGTAGCACAATAAATAGGCATCGGTCCGGACAAGTACAAGCAGACACACACACACATGTGCATGCACACTGCTATATAAGTGCAATAATCTTGGCGAGACGTTAAACCTAATTTCACTTCACCTCACCTCACCTCACCTCAACTCAACTCAACTCACCACACCCCAGTAGGTTACATACATTGTTACTATTGCCTGCCCCAATAGGTTTCATACATTGTTACTATTGCCTGTCCCAGTAGGTTTCATACATTGTTACTATTGCCTGTCCCAGTAAGTTACATACATTGCTACTATTGCCTGTCCCAGTAGGTTACATACATTGCTACTATTGCCTGTCCCAGTAGGTTACATGCATTGCTACTATTGCCTGTCCCAGTAGGTTACATACATTGCTACTATTGCCTGTCCCAGTAGGTTACATACATTGCTACTATTGCCTGTCCCAGTAGGTTTCATACGTTGTTACTATTGCCTGCCCCAGTAGGTTATATACATTGTTACTATTGCCTGCCCCAGTAGGTTACATACATTGTCCTATTGCCTGTCCCAGTAGGTTACATACATTGCTACTATTGCCTGTCCCAGTAGGTTTCATACATTGTTACTATTGCCTCTCCCAGAAGGTTTCATACGTTGTTACTATTGCCTGCCCCAGTAGGTTACATACATTGTCCTATTGCCTGTCCCAGTAGGTTACATACATTGTTACTATTGCCTGTCCCAGTAGGTTACATACAATGTTACTATTGCCTGTCCCAGTAGGTTACATACATTGTCCTATTGCCTGTCCCAGTAGGTTACATACAATGTTACTATTGCCTGCCCCAGTAGGTTACATACATTGTTACTATTGCCTGTCCCAGTAGGTTACATACAATGTTACTATTGCCTGTCCCAGTAGGTTACATACATTGTTACTATTGCCTGTCCCAGTAGGTTACATACAATGTTACTATTGCCTGTCCCAGTAGGTTACATACATTGTTACTATTGCCTGTCCCAGTAGGTTACATACAATGTTACTATTGCCTGCCCCAGTAGGTTACATACATTGTTACTATTGCCTGTCCCAGTAGGTTACATACAATGTTACTATTGCCTGTCCCAGTAGGTTACATACATTGTTACTATTGCCTGTCCCAGTAGGTTACATACAATGTTACTATTGCCTGCCCCAGTAGGTTACATACATTGTCCTATTGCCTGTCCCAGTAGGTTACATACAATGTTACTATTGCCTGTCCCAGTAGGTTACATACAATGTTACTATTGCCTGCCCCAGTAAGTTACATACATTGTCCTATTGCCTGTCCCAGTAGGTTACATACAATGTTACTATTGCCTGCCCCAGTAGGTTACATACATTGCTACTATTGCCTGTCCCAGTAGGTTTCATACATTGTTACTATTGCCTGTCCCAGAAGGTTTCATACGTTGTTACTATTGCCTGTCCCAGTAGGTTACATACAATGTTACTATTGCCTGTCCCAGTAGGTTTCATACATTGTCCTATTGCCTGTCCCAGTAGGTTTCATACATTGTTACTATTGCCTGCCCCAGTAGGTTACATACATTGTCCTATTGCCTGTCCCAGTAGGTTTCATACATTGTTACTATTGCCTGTCCCAGTAGGTTTCATACATTGTTACTATTGCCTCTCCCAGAAGGTTTCATACGTTGTTACTATTGCCTGCCCCAGTAGGTTACATACATTGTCCTATCACCTGTCAAAGAAGGTTTCATACATTATTACTATTGCCTGCCCCAGTAGGTTACATACATTGTCCTATCACCTGGCAAAGAAGGTTTCATACATTGTTACTATTGCCTGTCCCAGTAGGTTACATACATTGTTACTATTGCCTGCCCCAATAGGTTTCATACATTGTTACTATTGCCTGTCCCAGTAGGTTTCATACATTGTTACTATTGCCTGTCCCAGTAAGTTACATACATTACTACTATTGCCTGTCCCAGTAGGTTACATACATTGCTACTATTGCCTGTCCCAGTAGGTTACATGCATTGCTACTATTGTCTGTCCCAGTAGGTTACATACATTGCTACTATTGCCTGTCCCAGTAGGTTTCATACGTTGTTACTATTGCCTGCCCCAGTAGGTTACATACCTTGTTACTATTGCCTGCCCCAATAGGTTTCATACATTGTTACTATTGCCTGTCCCAGTAGGTTTCATACATTGTTACTATTGCCTGCCCCAGTAGGTTACATACATTGTTACTATTGCCTGTCCCAGTAGGTTGCATACATTATTACTATTGCCTGCCCCAGTAGGTTACATACATTGTCCTATTGCCTGTCAAAGAAGGTTTCATACATTATTACTATTGCCTGCCCCAGTAGGTTTCATACATTGTCCTATTGCCTGTCAAAGAAGGTTTCATACATTGTTACTATTACCTGTCCCAGGAGGTTACATACATTGTTACCATTGCCTGCCCCAGTAGGTTACATACATTGTCCTATTGCCTGGCAAAGAAGGTTTCATACATTGTTACTATTGCCTCTCCCAGGAAATTACATACATTGTTGCTATTGCCTGTCCCAGTAGGTTACATACATTGCTACTATTGCCTGCCCCAGTAGGTTTCATACATTGTTACTATTGCCTGTCCCAGTAGGTTACATACATTGTTACTATTGCCTGCCCCAGTAGGTTACATACATTGTCCTATTGCCTGTCCCAGAAGGTTTCATACATTGTTACTATTGCCTGTCCCAGTAGGTTACATACATTGTTACTATTGCCTGTCCCAGAAGTTACATACAATGTTACTATTGCCTGCCCCAGTAGGTTATATACATTGTTACTATTGCCTGTCCCAATAGGTTACATACATTGCTACTATTGCCTGTCCCAGTAGGTTACATACATTGTTACTATTGCCTGCCCCAGTAGGTTACAGACATTGTTACAATTGCCTGTCCCAGTAGGTTAAATACATTGTTACTATTGCCTGCCCCAGTAGGTTACATACATTGTCCTATTGCCTGTCCCAGTAGGTTACAGAGCTCCAGATAAGCTTCGTATCTGCGTGAAATACGCATCAGAAATGCAGAAATACACAGTAAAATATAATACAAGCGTATCAAATACGCAACGAACATTACAGATACGCTACAAAAATAAAACTTGTGCGTATCATCAAAATATTGTGAAGTAACCCTGCGTATTCGATTAGCAAATCAGCAACTTATTTTGAAATTATAAAGGGGCATTCTGTCAACCTTGCCAAACTCCACGATGACAGTTACATCATGATCATTTGCCATCACACTTTCTTGTGGAAGTATCGTGGTATTTTTTATTCCTATAAAGCTCTCGAACCCACACGACACCAGTTTGCAGGGACTTGATGAATAGTGTTTTTAAATATTTAACTTAAATACCCACATGTGTAAAAACTAGTGGGTAACAGAAATTTGAATACGCAGGTAGAATTACTGATACCCAATGATTTTAAAATGCATGGGTAAAATACCCACAACACCAAAAGCTTATCTGGGGCTCTGAGGTTACATACATTGTTACTATTGCCTGTCCCAGGTTCAGCCACTACACAGTTTCCCTGGCTCACCATGTTATTGCCATCTGGTTTGTCCGGTGTCGCCTCCCATTTAGAAAAGGATTTGTCAAGTTCATACACAAGGTAAAGTACAGCGCAGAAGATATGCCAGTAACAAATAACAATTTCTGCAGTAGATGTAGCAATGTTATGTATTATTATTAACAGAAGCTGTATGATTGCTTGTGGCCTGAATGTCTCATGTTTGTGTCTGGCTTAACTGATGGAGGTGTATGGCCTTGATGACTAATGAAGGTGTATGCACCTTATGAGTTCCAGATAACTTTTTGAACAATTGAGTTTTTACTCGAAGGTTTCGATTATAATTGGGTTATTACATTTTTCATTGGGTAACAAATATTTTTTTACTCATCTATTCATCACTCTATTTGGTTTTTTTTCCAAAATGAGTGAGCATTTGAGATTTAGAAAAAATGAAGTAATGTTTTAAGATGTATACTGAGTCAAATTAAAAACTTCACATTTTTAAAAGTAATCCCATATATGATACGGACAAATGTATCAGAGAAGGTAATTTTTAATCATTAATGTCCAAAGAAGGATTTTAATTAACGGTGGTAACCATAATTTGTTCCAATCACCTACAGTATTCGGTAATAACATCAACAGTTTAAGTCCCAAGCACGAGAATCTGATGGCACACAAGTTCAGTAGCGTGTATGGCCACCATGTGCGTTGACAACTGCCACACAACGCCTCTGAATGGACCTTGTGATGCTTGTGAACACATGATTGGGAAGACGACGCCATTGTTGCTGCAAAATGGTGCAAAGATCTTGCAAATTCTGTGGTTGGTTCTGGAGAGTGCACAGACTTCTGCCAAGAGCATCCCAGATGTGTTCGATGGGATTGAGGTCGGGAGACCTTGATGGCCAGTTCATGACGTTGACTCCCGCATTCTGAAGGAAATTCCTTGTCAAAATTGCTGTGTGGGGTCTGGCATTGTCGTGTTGGAAGATCAAACCAGGTCCATTTGCTGCCATAAAAGGCAGAAGTTCTGATGCCAGTACCTGGTCACGGTAAGCAGCAGCGTTGAGGTTGCCACGGATGACAAGAAGCCTGAAACGTGCATTGCCACAGAAAGCACCCCACACCATGACACTTCCGCCTCCAAATCTGTCAACTTCCTGTACACAACACTGGGCATAACGTTCATGACGGCGCCTCCACACCCTCGCCCTACCATCAGCAAATCGAAGATTAAATCGGGATTCGTCACTGAAGACGACTTGATTCCAATTCCTCTGAGTCCATCGTAAGTGTCGCTGTGCACACAATTGACGTTGACGTCTGTGTAATTGTGTCAGAATCGGCCCGCAGTATGGCCGTCGTGCTTGAAGGTGAGCAGTTCTCAGACGGTTTCGAACAGTTTGCGCACTCAGTCCACCCCTAAACAGTTCATTTCTGGTTGATGTAGCCATCAAAAATCGGTTACGGAGGTGACGTAAGACAATCTGACGATCCTCTGCATGTGACGTCACAAGTGGTCGACCTGGCCGAGGGCGATCAGCGGTGGTACCTGTTTGCTGTAGACGCGTCTGTAAATCATAAACAGTCCGTCAACTACAACCCATCGTCCTTGCGACTTCAGCTATGGACGTTCCCGTCTGCAACATGCCGATGGCACGTTCACGTTGCACATTTGAAAGGCGTGGCATGACAAATGGCCGTAAAGACTTTTGTTTTCTTGTGTTTTTCTTTTTTTGTTAATGACTGCTAACAAGTATGGCTGAAAACACGTGCGGTATTATGGCCACGTGACCAGTTGCACGTGAAAAAACTCTTTTGCCACTATAGTGCTGTGCACATGATTTTGATCGATTCACCTACACAAAAACGGGTGTTATCTGAAGACAATACATGGCCATTACTGTTTAAATACACAATGAGGGCCCACAATGATAACTGGTCAAAATGTTAAAATTTTAGGAATGTGAAGTTTTTAATTTGGTTCAGTATACAGAACAGTTCATAAATATAGGCTTGACTCGGAAATTAGCTCATAATTGTGTTTCAGAAATAAGCTCCATTGTACACATGCTGAAAAAGCTTCATTGGGTATTTATGCATTTCTGTACACAAGTTGATTGAAGGTAATTGGGTTTTAAACAGTTGTGGGGGGTATTTTACGCAAATACGCAGCTTATCTGTAGCTCTGTGTATGGCTTGTTATGATTGTGTTTGGCCTGGATGTGTTATGATGGTGTTTCCCCCAGATATGTAATGATGGTGTTTGGCCTGGATGTGTTATGATGGTGTTTGGTCTGGATGTGTTATGATGGTGTTTCCCCCAGATATGTAATGATGGTGTTTGGCCTGGATGTGTTATGATGGTGTTTAGCCTGGATGTGTTATGATGGTGTTTGGTCTGGATGTGTTATGATGGTGTTTCACCTGGATGTGTTATGATGGTGTTTAGCCTGGATGTGTTATGATGGTGTTTCACCTAGATGTGTTATGATGGTGTTTGGCCTGGATGTGTTATGATGATGTTTCACCTGGATGTGTTATGATGGTGTTTCACCTGGATGTGTTATGATGGTGTTTAACCATGATGTGTTATGATGGTGTTTCACCTGGATGTGTTATGATGGTGTTTCACCATGATGTGTTATGAAAGTTTTTAGCCTGGATGTGTGATGATTGTGTTTAGCCTGGATGTGTTATGATGGTGTTTGGCCTGGATGTGTTATGATGGTGTTTGGCCTGGATGTGTTATGATGGTGTTTCACCTGGATGTGTTATGATGGTGTTTAGCCTGGATGTGTTATGATGGTGTTTAGCCTGGATGTGTTATGATGGTGTTTAGCCTGGATGTGTTATGATGGTGTTTCACCTGTATGTGTTATGATGGTGTATGGCCTGGATGTGTTATGATGGTGTTTAGCCTGGATATGTTATGATGGTGTATGGCCTGGATGTGTTATGATGGTGTTTAGCCTGGATGTTTTATGATGGTGTTTCACCTGGATATGTTATGATGGTGTTTAGCCTGGATATGTTATGATGGTGTTTGGCCTGGATGTGTTATGATGGTTTTTGGCCTGGATGTGTTATGATGGTGTTTCCCCTGGATATGTTATGATGGTGTTTGGCCTGGATGTGTTATGATGGTGTTTAGCCTGGATGTGTTATGATGGTGTTTGGCGTGGATGTGTTATGATGGTGTTTCACCTGGATGTGTTATGATGGTGTTTGGCCTGGATGTGTTATGATGGTGTTTAGCCTGGATGTGTTATGATGGTGTTTCACCTGGATGTGTTATGATGGTGTTTCACCTGGATGTGTTATGATGGTGTTTAGCCTGGATGTGTTATGATGGTGTTTAGCCTGGATGTGTTATGATGGTGTTAAGCCTGGATGTGTTATGATGGTGTTTAGCCTGGATGTGTTATAATGGTGTTTCACCATGATGTGTTATGATGTTGTTTAGCCTGGATGTGTTATGATGGTGTTTAGCCTGCATGTGTTATGATGGTGTTTAGCCTGGATGTGTTATGATGGTGTTTCACCTGGATGTGTTATGATGGTGTTTGGCCTGGATGTTTTATGATTGTGTTTGGCCCGGGATGTCTAATGATGGTGTTTGGTCTGGATGTGTTATGATTGTGTACGGCCTAGATGTGTTATGATGGTGTTTGGCCTGGATGTGTTATAATGGTGTTTGGCCTGGATATTTCATGATGGTGTTTGACCTGGATGTTTTATGATGGTGTTTGGCCTGGATGTGTTATGATGGCGGTGATGATTTCAGGGCCTCAGGGCTAATGTGCTGCAGCAATTTGAGGAGAACTCTGTGCACAACCTCCAGAATCAGGACAGCAGGAACCAGGACTCAACAAACCGTATCCGCAGTGGCTCGTACAGTGAAGGGGGACGGGTCAGGTAAGTTTCTTAACCTATTGGAGGGGATTGGGAAAGGGGCTCAGTTATACCATCCAGACTTATACATCTCTACACATACACTGAGGGGGTCAGGGAGATTGTACATCTCTACACCTACACTGAGGGGGTCAGGGAGATTGTACATCTCTATACTTACACTGAGGGGGTCAGGGACATTGTACATCTATATGCTTACACTGAGGGGGTCAGGGAGATTCTACATCTCTACACCTACACAGAGGGGGTCAGGGAGATTCTACATCTCTATACCTACACTGAGGGGGTCAGGGAGATTGTACATCTCTATACTTACACTGAGGGGGTCAGGGAGATTCTACATCTCTACACCTACACAGAGGGGGTCAGGGAGATTCTACATCTATATACCTACACTGAGGGGGTCAGGGAGATTGAACATCTATATACTTACACTGAGGGGGTCAGGGAGATTGTACATCTATATGCTTACACTGAGGGGGTCAGGGAGATTGTACATCTATATGCTTACACTGAGGGGATCAGGGAGATTGTACATCTATATGCTTACACTGAGGGGGTCAGGGAGATTCTACATCTCTATACCTACACTGATGGGGTCAGGGAGATTCTACACCTACACAGAGGTGATCAGGGAGATTGTACATCTATATACTTACACTGAGGGGGTCAGGGAGATTCTACATCTCTACACCTACACTGAGGGGGTCAGGGAGATTGTACATCTATATACTTACACTGAGGGGGTCAGGGAGATTCTACATCTCTATACCTACATTCAGGGGGTCAGGGAGATTCTACATCTCTATACCTACACTGAGGGGGTCAGGGAGATTCTACATCTCTACACCTACACGGAGGGGGTCAGGGAGATTCTACATCTCTATACCGTATATGACTGCGTATAAGCCGAATTTTGAGGACCAGAAAAAAGATTCAATATATGTAATTCACAGCTATAATATATAATCCCCAGATAAAATCTCCAATAGCTATTACGTACGTTTTGCAAAGTTCATAAACTGATAGTGAACAAGTGTCTACCTTTATTGAAAGAGGCAAATAAACAACTGTATCGGCGAGTTATTCCGTTCGCCATTTGCAAAACATGTGATCAGCTGTTTCCTGTGACGTCACAAACGGTGACCACTGTGATTGCTTCCTGTTGTTTAAAGCAACACGGTTCACAAGGAAATGATCATTGATAATAACGGGCCGATTGGTATTGTCAGGTTGTTTACACAAACATTTTCAAGTTGTGGGTGCTTAGCGATCGTGTTGGGAGTAGGGGCTTAATTCCTTTGTTTTCGAGAGATTAGTTTAATAAACTGGAAAAGCCTGTGAGTAAGTGATGGTCATTCAATGTGTTTATAGTATGATAGTTTATTTAATTCAATTGGATTAACATACAATAGTGGTGTAAAGGGGGTTATAAAAGTTGGAATATTTTTACTGACTGACGTTTTCATCATGAGTTTTAAACGAAAACGCCATGCTTACGATGCTGAATTCAAACTGCGAGTCTTCGCTCCAGCTGATATATTTTCTCACGGGTTCATAATTCTATATACACCGACTCACAAAATGGCGCTTGGTTGTTGATGGCAACATATAACAATCATTATGAGATTAAAAAAAACCACGAGAAACAGCTTCCCACATTATAGTGGATGACTGGTTTGTTAAATCTTTATTAGAAATAATAATGACTTTTTCAATATAATTACAACGTTTTTCATCTTATATTTTTGAATATCTGCGAGTACCGGCACATGTCTTTCAGTCCGACTTCGCAGTTGTTTTTGTCTTTCAATTCCTGATTCGGCTTATCTGCGGGTCATATCATTTTCTTTCGTATTTCAATGGTCAAATTAACACCTCGGCTTATCTACGGGGTCAGCTTATCCGCGGTCATATACGGTACCTACAGTTAGGGGGTCAGGGAGATTGTACATCTATATACTTACACTGAGGGGGTCAGGGAGATTCTACATCTATATGCTTACACTGAGGGGGTCAGGGAGATTGTACATCTATATGCTTACACTGAGGGGTCAGGGAGATTCTACATCTCTATACCTACACTGAGGGGGTCAGGGAGATTCTTCATCTATATACTTACACTGAGGGGGTCAGGGAGATTCTACATCTATATACCTACATTGGGGGGGTCAGGGAGATTGAACATCTATATACTTACACTGAGGGGGTCAGGGAGATTCTACATCTATATACTTACACTGAGGGGTCAGGCAGATTCTACATCTCTATACCTACACTGAGGGGGTCAGGGAGATTCTACATCTCTACACCTACACTACACCTACACTACACCTACACATCTATGTACTTACAGGAAGGGGTCAGGTCAGATACATCTGTATACTTACAGGAAGGGGTCAGGTCAGATACATCTATGTACTTACAGGAAGGGGTCAGGTCAGATACATCTATGTACTTACATGAAGGGGTCAGGTCAGATACATCTGTACACTTACAGGAAGGGGTCAGGTCAGATACATCTGTATACTTACAGGAAGGGGTCAGGTCAGATACATCTGTACACTTACAGGAAGGGGTCAGGTCAGATACATCTATGTACTTACAGGAAGGGGTCAGGTCAGATACATCTGTATACTTACAGGAAGGGGTCAGGTCAGATACATCTGTATACTTACAGGAAGGGGTCAGGTCAGATACATCTGTACACTTACAGGAAGGGGTCAGGTCAGATACATCTATGTACTTACAGGAAGGGGTCAGGTCAGATACATCTATGTACTTACAGGAAGGGGTCAGGTCAGATACATCTATGTACTTACAGGAAGGGGTCAGGTCCAATACATCTGTACACTTACAGGAAGGGGTCAGGTCAGATACATCTGTATACTTACAGGAAGGGGTCAGGTCAGATACATCTATGTACTTATAGGAAGGGGTCAGGTCAGATACATCTGTACACTTACAGGAAGGGGTCAGGTCAGATACATCTATGTACTTACAGGAAGGGGTCAGGTCAGATACATCTGTATACTTACAGGAAGGGGTCAGGTCAGATATATCTATGTACTTACAGGAAGGGGTCAGGTCAGATATATCTGTATACTTACAGGAAGGGGTCAGGTCAGATAAATCTGTATACTTACAGGAAGGGGTCAGGTCAGATACATCTGTATACTTACAGGAAGGGGTCAGGTCAGATACATCTGTACACTTACAGGAAGGGGTCAGGTCAGATACATCTGTATACTTACAGGAAGGGGTCAGGTCAGATACATCTATGTACTTACAGGAAGGGGTCAGGTCAGATACATCTGTGTACATACAGGAAGGGGTCAGGTCAGATACATCTATGTACTTACATGAAGGGGTCAGGTCAGATACATCTATGTACTTACAGGAAGGGGTCAGGTCAGATACATCTATGTACTTTCAGGAAGGGGTCAGGTCCAATACATTTGTACACTTACAGGAAGGGGTCAGGTCAGATACATCTGTATACTTACAGGAAGGGGTCAGGTCAGATACATCTGTACACTTACAGGAAGGGGTCAGGTCAGATACATCTGTACACTTACAGGAAGGGGTCAGGTCAGATACATCTGTATACTTACAGGAAGGGGTCAGGTCAGATACATCTGTACACTTACAGGAAGGGGTCAGGTCAGATACATCTGTATACTTACAAGAAGGGGTCAGGTCCAATACATCTGTATACTTACAGGAAGGGGTCAGGTCAGATACATCTGTATACTTACAGAAAGGGGTCAGGTCAGATATATCTGTATACTTACAGGAAGGGGTCAGGTCAGATACATCTGTATACTTACAGAAAGGGGTCAGGTCATAAACATCTATGTACTTACAGGAAGGGGTCAGGTCAGATACATCTATGTACTTACAGGAAGGGGTCAGGTCAGATACATCTGTATACTTACAGGAAGGGGTCAGGTCAGATATATCTGTATACTTACAGCAAGGGGTCAGGTCAGATATATCTGTATACTTACAGAAAGGGGTCAGGTCATAAACATCTATGTACTTACATGAAGGGGTCAGGTCAGATACATCTATGTACTTACAGGAAGGGGTCAGGTCAGATACATCTGTATACTTACAGGAAGGGGTCAGGTCAGATATATCTGTACACTTACAGGAAGGGGTCAGGTCAGATATATCTGTACACTTACAGGAAGGGGTCAGGTCAGATATATCTGTATACTTACAGGAAGGGGTCAGGTCAGATACATCTGTATACTTACAGGAAGGGGTCAGGTCAGATACATCTGTATACTTACAGGAAGGGGTCAGGTCAGATACATCTGTATACTTACAGGAAGGGGTCAGGTCAGATATATCTGTATACTTACAGGAAGGGGTCAGGTCAGATACATCTGTATACTTACAGGAAGGGGTCAGGTCAGATACATCTGTATACTTACAGGAAGGGGTCAGGTCAGATATATCTGTATACTTACAGGAAGGGGTCAGGTCAGATACATCTATGTACTTACAGGAAGGGGTCAGGTCAGATACATCTGTACACTTACAGGAAGGGGTCAGGTCAGATAGATCTATGTACTTACATGAAGGGGTCAGGTCAGATACATCTATGTACTTACAGGAAGGGGTCAGGTCAGATACATCTATGTACTTACAGGAAGGGGTCAGGTCAGATACATCTATGTACTTACAGGAAGGGGTCAGGTCAGATACATCTGTATACTTACAGGAAGGGGTCAGGTCAGATATATCTGTATACTTACAGGAAGGGGTCAGGTCAGATAGATCTATGTACTTACATGAAGGGGTCAGGTCAGATACATCTATGTACTTACAGGAAGGGGTCAGGTCAGATACATCTATGTACTTACAGGAAGGGGTCAGGTCAGATACATCTATGTACTTACAGGAAGGGGTCAGGTCAGATACATCTGTATACTTACAGAAAGGGGTCAGGTCATAAACATCTATGTACTTACAGGAAGGGGTCAGGTCAGATA